GGCCTGGGGGAGCTGGGGCGGGCTACCTGGGGGCGGGGCATCCTCCATGATTGGTGCACCTGGTCTTCTCTGGTTGGTCCTAAGTTGGAAACAGACAAGAAGTAGGGAAGCTGTCAATTACTAATTGGGTCCATTGTTACAGGGGTGATTGCTTAGCTTCCTGGATTGTTATTAGTGATCTGACCCCAGCAAGTCCATCTTACTGCAGGGGCTTCCTTGGCTGGTCTTGCAGATGAGCAAGGGGGTTCCCTGGCAGGCTACCACAGCGTGTGGGTCAGAGCTCTGAGTGTCTATATGGCCCCACCATTGTCTGTCATCCCGCATCAGAATAGACACACGAAGAGTGCTGTGCTGCTACTGCTGGATTCCCAGGGCCTAGAATAGAGCCGGGTACCCAGTAAGCCCCCCGTAACTATTTGTTGGTTATGATACTATTTATGTAGCTCTAGATAGAAAGGTTGTGACTACTATTCCTGGGTAGAAAACCAACTATAAGCCTGCTTGATTCGATCCAGTTCTACAAATGTGTGTGAGTGCTAACTACACACCCAGGAGGCCACTCCGCCTCACGACAGACAAGTATTAGCTGAAAATGGACTGGAGCCCGGTGTCAGCCTTTGCTCAAAACAACTCTCCCACTTCAATTTTTGTCTCCACCTTTAAAACCCATTCAGGCTCCAGGCCTTCATTATACTTTCAGAGGCTGGGCTGGCCCATGTCTACTTCTTCCAGAGCTCTTTTAGTTCTTGAAAAGTGCCTGTGTAGTGTCTGGCTGGATTTCCTCTTTCTTCCTTTCCTTTCTTCCTTTCCTTCTTCCTTTCTTTCTTTCTTTCTATCTCTTTCTTTCATCTTTCTTTCTACCAGAGTCTTGCTAAGCTCTCCAGACCAGCCTCAAACTCAGGATCTTCCTGCCTCAGCCTCCTGAGTAGCTGGGGATTACAGAAGCATGCACTGTGCCTGCCTCTTGGTTGTATCACCCCACAGGGCAGGAGCCCCATCTTACCCCCAGTAGGGGTGACTAACACAGGAGGGTCTCAGGGGCCTGAGTCTGCCTCGCCCCACATTTGACCTTTTCCCTGAGATCCAAACTAAATGTCTGCCTGACTTCAGACCCTTCCACCTTCCACACAGAAGATGCCTGGTGTGGAGCTGTTGTGTAGAAATGAGGTCCCAGGACAGTGGCCTCATCACCAGAGGCTGCCACTCACCCGGGCATCTCAGCCACCTCCCCAGAAAGGCCCCCTGTTAGCTTTTTAAGTATTTAAATGGTTCTGAGACTCCATGCTTGGCTTAATTTATGTTTCAGATGGAAACTCAAGGAACCAAGAAAGCGATGGGTGTGCAAACAGGCTCCTGTGGGGAGCTCCCCGCCAGGTCTACGTGGCCGTGTGGCTGGATGTCAGGTGCCACCTGATGGGCTTCAGCTGCCGCGGTCCCCGGCCCTGGCACCCAGCATCACTGCCAGTGTCTGCCAAATGAAAGGGAGGCATGGCCACACACGCTGCGTTTGAAATGAGACACGCCACGTTGCAGTGGCGACCGTTCTCAATGTTTACTCATTTTGTTGCTTAATTTTCTCAGCCAGCACAAATCACACTAAATAAAAAGGCAAACAATGGAGCCACAGAGGCGGAAGAGGGCTCTGAGGAGCAGAAGCAGCACTGGCCTTTTCCGTCCACGAGCTCCGCACGCTTTTGTTGCACACGGCCCCAGGAGGCGCAGGCTCTGCTTGCTCCAGGACACAGGAAACTCGTCCTCAGACCTGGCCTCGAATTTCCCGTCCTCAGCAGCAAGGCCCAATCCCTGCATGTGATAATGAATCAGAGTGGGAAAGGTAAACATCAGCTACAACCAATTCATCCATGTTTCAGGCCTTGTGGGAGAAACGGGAGAAAACCCAAGTCGTACTGGCTGCTGACTTCATTTCATTCAATAACTCTTTTTCCTGTGCAGTCCTGGTAAATGTTAGGAACCAAGCGGTCTCACCCTGGACCTTGGATTCCTGGATTCCTGGATTCCTCTTCAGCACACAGCCAGCTCGAGGCTCACCTCGAGCCTCCAACTGCCACTCTCATCCCCACTTCTTGGGTTCCTTAGGGCTCACCAGGGCCAGGAAGTAAGCAGCTCTGCCCACCGTCACCAGAGAGGACACCGAGCTCTGAGCATGAGCCCAACCTTCGGGAAGTCCCTCTGAGAGCCGGCTTCAATCCATTAAGCATAGTTGCCTCTCAAACTGCCCTGCTGAGAAGGGAGGAGAGCTGCTCCTTCTAGCCATCCTCGGTGGGTGTGTGAAGTGACTCAGCCCCTCCAGCCTTCCTGAGCCTGCTACTCGCATCGAAGCTGAGCACCAAAGGAAGGCGTGTTGTCGGGGCCCCATAGACTTGCTGAGCCTCAGATTGGTCATCAGCGCCGGTACGCCCACTTGAACCTCCATAAATGCTCGGCTCAGCCTTCTTTTGCAAAATTTCAGCCCTTTCAGGGAATACCTCAGCAAGCACCCTTGCTTTTTTGTTTTTTGGGTTTTTTTTAAGCACCCTTGTTAATAAACTATGTGGAGACAAGGGTGTAATGCAGTGAGAGAGTACTTGCCTATCATGGGGTAGGCCCTGAGTTTGTTCCCCAACACTGAAAAAAAAAAGCTTCTGCCAGGCAGTGGTGATTCATGCCTATAATCTCAGCATTTGGGAGGCTGAGGCAGGAGGATCGCTGAGAGTTTGAGACCAGCTTGGGCTATATAGTGAGTTCAAGCTAGTCTGAACTACATAGCAAGAACCTGTCTCAAACAAAACAAAGCAAACAAACAAAAAACATCATGCCCAACTGAGGCAAAGGCAGGCCATCTCACATATGTCTCTCTTCCCTGGGAAGTTGTGCTGGTACAGGCACACAGTGGACAAGCATGTGCCCTGTCCCAGGTCTCTGTTGCAGGGCAGGTCTCACCTGGCCCCCCAGGTGCTATGGGCCTGGCAGTCCTCACTCGCCTCCCCAGCCAGGGAGGGAATCCCTGCTGCTCCAGGGATTCTCACCCAATCCTTTCTGGTAGTTATTGGACAGTTCCCCAGCAGGTGGGAAGCAGGACAGGGAGGTACAGTGAGCTTGTTCTCTCTCTGCTGAGACTCACATTACAAAGTGTCATTTCCTATTCCATTAGGACACCATTTACTCTCAGTTTCAGTTCTTGGGCCAGCAGAGGGAAGTCTGAGGTGTATGGCCAGAGAGCACTTTCCAGTGTGTCTCCACCCAGAGTCCTGGGGGACCCTCCAATGGATGAGCGGGAAGGAGAAGGGCAGCTGGTTGTGAGGTTGGTGTTGTTTCAGCTTTAAGAAAAATAGATTTCACTTCAGAAATCTTTTTAACCAGGATGGCTAAAATTAAAGGACTGAGAATCTTAAGTGTAGACAAAGATAGAGAGGACATGGAGCTCTCACTCTTCGCTGTTAAAGTGTAAACTGGAGCCACAACCTTGGGATTCCTTGGAGGTATCCAGCTATTGCTCCAGCAATCCCTCTCCCAGGTATATGCTCAGAAGCAATGAATATTTATGTTCACCAAAATACAAGTACAACAAAGTTTGTAGCACCATAATTAACAATGGTATAAAAGATTGAAATAGTGCCCAAGTTAAAGGGTAAATAAATTGTAGTATAATTTTCCAACAGCATCAGACACAGCAGTGAAGAAAACCAGACCACTGCTATACAGTGCCACAGGGACACATTTCACAGACACACACAGAAGTGTACATGGTATGGTTCCTTTTATGTGACACTCAAAAATGACAAAACCAATCTATGACGATAAAGACAGAATAGTGCTTACCTCAGGGAGACGTCTACATAGGGTCTGGTGAAATACCTTAGCTCTGTGCATTTCAGTCCATGTAAGTTACACCTCAATAGGAAAAGAATAAAAGAGGGTATCTGCGGTGACTTCTTTTCCCAGATGAGCACCCTATCCGTTACTCATCCATTTTTTCATGCTCTGCTTTTAAGAAAGCCTGGAGGTGACTCAAAAGGGTATTTGTAAGTGAAGCTGGAGGTGGTCAAACAGGAACAGAAACCCTGGATGAAACCAGGTGCGAGGATCAGGAGGCCCTGTGTGCTTCCTAGGGTAAGCTGAAGACAGCTTCCTGTGGCCCATGCGAAGAAGAAACAGAGCCATTCTGTAACAAAAATTAGCAGTCCCGGTGGATCCGAAGCACAGGTAGTTCTGAGCCCCGAGACACATTCTCCTGTGCCAGCACAGAAAAAGGCAATGATGGGGCCCAGGATTTAGTTCAGTGGTTCCGCTGCCTGCCTCGAAAGCACAAGGTCCTGAGTTCGATCCCCGGTACCAAAAAACAAAACAAACAAACAAAAAAAAAAAAGAAAAAGGCAATGATGTCATCAAACCCCTTTCTGTTTCGAAAATGTTTTTCTGAAACATCCCATTCCCCCTGGATGTCCGAATGCCTTCAGCCCACATTTCTGCACCTGTGAGATTTAGGGGAGGCAGCCCCTGCAGTCAGGCCCATCCCTGCCCATGGAGCGGGGCCTGGCACCATCATTCACTGTCCTGCGTGCAGTTTGGGGGGTGTCCTGTCCTCCAGGGCTGGGTTTCTGTCCTTCAGAGTGCGCGGCTTGCCATCCTCGCTCCTGGAACCCGGGGCCGCACCTCTGGCACGCTCTCTGCTGCTCGGCCCATCTCCTTCCTGGTTGGTGCTGCCACGCAGCCCTGACTCTTCTCCAGCAGCAACTTTTCGTGGGGCGGGCACAGTTCCCTGGGCGCTGGGCTCTGTCCTTGCTGGCTTCTGGGCTGATGGATCTTTCCACTTTCTGGCTCCAGTTTTTGAGTTGAATTCATATATTCCCCCAGTAACTGGTGGGGGAAGAAGAAAACAATCATATAAACCCAGGAATTCAAACAATTCTGTCTCACCCCCCCACCTCCCCAGCTCCGTTCTGACCCATAAGGAAGGATGCGCACCAGAGGGTGCGGATCAGGCTAGGAAGCAGTCTCATAGCGGCACGTGCTTGTCACCAGCCTGCCCTTCCCACAGCTGTGTGGCTGGTGTCACCTCTCTGAGGCCGGGAAGGTAGGGGACAGTCTCAATGGCTTCTCCCTTGCCAGACGAGGGGCCCTGTCACCCTGGAGCTCCCCACGAGTGTCAGATAAACCAGGATCAACTTCTAATGGGGTTGCACATGACATTCTGGTTTATTTTGTTTGTTTTGAAAGACCCCTGAATCCCTGCTATGAAAAGGAATTCACTGAACAAGGAGGAAAAGGCTTTGCTTTTTATTTATGTTAGGGGAGCAGAGATTTGTAGACAGAGACATACAAATCTGGCCCTACTGGAGATGATGTAAGTGAGCTGCTTTTATTGTGTCGGAGCCAACAGTCACTAATTGACATGTTTGCTCACATTAGGCCAGTTGGCTCATTTCTCCCCTTTTCTTTTTCTTTTCTTTTTAAAAAATTTTCTCAAACAAACAAAAACCGCCGAAGTCCTCCCCAGCTTGCTGTGGAAGGTGGTTTCAGGCAGGCCCAGCCCCTGCCCCTCTCCATACCAGCTCTCGCCAAGGCTCTCACCAGCTCTTCTGCTAACGTGGGCGCATTATGGTAACAAGTGCCTAACAACAGAGGGAAGTCTCATTTCGGCGCAGCAGCTTCTCACTGGAGAGGAGCCACCCTCCTTTGGAGGAGGACTCGCGCGTTCGCCCGGGCGCGTGGCAGGGAGCCAGCGCACTTGCCTCCTGAATTTGGTTTCCTTCCCTTTATTCATGTCTATAATTGAGCCTTTGTAAGCGGAGGGATGTGTGTAAAGGAGCTAAACTCGGATCTGATTTCGTGGGGGTGAGGAGAGCACTGGAGGCCAGCTTTACTTAGGTTCATCTTGCCAACCAAGAACGAATTCTTGGCACCGATCTAGGAAAGAAAGAAACCAAACTTGCCATTTCTTCCACTACCAAGAGGATGGTACTAGAAGCATTCAAGAAGGATGGGGAACAGAAGGAGTTCCAAGGAGCAAGGAAAAAATATGCAGAATCTTGAATCAGGGAATTCCCTAATCAGTTGGTGACTTGGGCAGGGAGGCAAGAAAGAGGTGTCTCCTTGAGTGCTAGCCTTTAGGAGGAAACCTGCCCAGGACCTGTGCCAGTTGCCAGCTGCCTCTCAGGGTCAGCTCTGTGCTGTGTACAACGCGGCCAAAGGGATGGACAAACTGAGTTAAGAGCAGGAAATCAAATACGGGAGTGACAAGCACTCTTCTGGGTGGCCTTGCTGCTGGATTACCTGGGTCCACAGCTTCTCCGTCAAAGACAGTGTCCATCTGGATAGTTTTCTAAGGAGAAGAAAGAGACAGTCTCAGGCCCAGCCCTGCGCACCTCCCCCGGGCCAGTCCACTCATCCTCATGCCCAGTTCCCACTCAGAGCTTCTTCACGTTTAGTCATTCAGCAGGCACTGCTCTGCATGCTGGGGACCCCACTTGAACAAGGCTGGCATGGTTACTGCCTACACAGAGCTTGCTGCTGACAAACAGGGGCGACAGTGCAGTCACAAGGCTACGGTGGAAAAGATGTTGGATGATGCGGGGTGCACACGGGACAGAGGAGGATGCATAATCCAGACTGGGGTGTTAAGACTCTGAGTCAATGGTGCTGGGTTGTGAAGAAGGAAGACTAGAAATGCCATGCATCATGGGCTAAGATTGCATCTCCTTAAGGGGTGTTGGCAGGCAGGCTTACAGAGCAGGCACAAGCGAGCCCGGGAAGTGCCTGCCTCTGCCCCCTGGCACTCCTGCCTTCTCTGCTGCCACCTGTCCCATTGGCCAAAGCAGTGTCAGATCTAGGTCCTCCCTAGGCCTGTGCTCCAGGAACTGGACTCTGTGCCACCCTCCAGGACCTGATCTCTGCCTAGTACCTGTCCCTGACCCCAGGGCACCCTGTGCCCTCACATGATGCCCTCTACAGGGGCCAAAGTCAGGGCTGTTAGCACACTAAATAGTGGTGGTTGGAGCTTAGAGGGCCTTTCAACCTCCAGCTGGCATCACAAATATAATCACCTATTCTCTTCCCCACAGAGAACGAAACAGGAATTACATGGGTTTCATCTACTGCATAATCTCAGCGGCCATACTCTTCATGGCCATGGGGATTCATTTACCTAATAGATTAATATTGCATAGCTTGAAGGCTGTCTCTCAAGGCATTCCCAATAGTGAGACCTAGGAGACTGAAGGTCGCCTCTCCCTCCCATTTGTAGGCTGACTAGAGCTGATGGGCTCACAGCAAAAGTTCTGGGGCTCCCGTTGGCCTTCCTCATTGCAATCATTCACCAAATCTATGTGTCTTGGACCATTACAGAGTTTTACTACGGGCAGTTGGGAAGTGCTGGGGGACTCACCTTCAAATCCTATCATTTCGCAGTGAGGACATTAGGTTCAGTAAAACAAAGACAGGAAGTGGTGGAGCGCTCGCTCCAGTTCTATCACCTTTGCATTTGTGTGGCACCCGACAATGTTCAAAACAGTTCCCAGCTGTTATCTCAGGCCAAGTGAACTCACTCCCATTTCAGGTCAGGAATCCAAAGCTTAGCAAGACCAAGAGGTCCCCAAGGCCCTATGGCTGAGCGGAGAGCCATGCCCAGGCCCAAGCAGTGCGTTCTCTAGCACTTTCCCACAGAGTTGTGAAAGAACACGGAGAAACTGAATCCCATGGAAGGCTGAAGCCCCAGTTCTGGTCCTTACGCTCTCCTCCCCCATGCACTGAGCTGGGGAGCTGGTGTAGATGGTAAACACCACTGCTCAGTATTTATGAAACCCAACACTTCTGCAAATACATCGCAGACGGGCTCAGAGGAAGGAAGGAATTCTATGGGAGCTCGTCACTGGCAAACTGTTCCAGGGGCCATTGCTTGCCTCTCTGAATGGTAAATGCCCTGCCAGGCCTGGCTGTAAGGACACCTTGCCACCACCAAGCACCCAGTGCCCAGGGCTGCCACTCACCACCACAACCTCGCTCTTTGAACGCTTCACATCTGCAGGGAAAAGCACAGGCAGCAGTTAACACGTTCCGATGGGGCTGTAATTTGTATGTCTCGCTGCCGGGAGGCTCTGAACCACGGTGGTGCACACATGACCATCCCACCAGTTGTCATGGGGCAGTCCCATCAGGTGGTGGGGCAGTCCCATCAGGTGGTGGGACAGTCATGCACGGACCGCCAGTGGTTCAAGCTGGCAGGAATGCGTAAAGCTTCATGAGTGCCTAATTGACCTTAAAATTCCATGTCCTGTCTTGCCCCGGGGCCTGGAGTCAGCTTGAGGCGACAACTCGCAGGCCGGGGCAGCACCCCCACCCCCCCACCCCACACACCTCCTCAGGCCTGGGGCTCTCAGGAGAGCCTGGCGTAGTTACCCACTTCTCTGAGCCATTTTGCTCTCCCAGCTCCTCTCAAAGTACTCAGTCCCCTCTCTAACTAGTCAGACCTAACTCGTTGGTGAAAATGATCAAATCCGTTACAAGCCCTTGTTATTCTTCTAAAGCTCTAAAATATCGTTTGTTCTTTCAAAACAGGCAGGTGTCCCAACCAGCATTAGCTGTCCCCAGAGAGGGACCACACCTGTGCACAGTAGCAAGCAGACGCGCCTTGTGTTTAACATGTGCAGAATTCTTCTTGCCGGCTCCAGGAGGGAAACAGACCTACTACTGCTTGAGCTGAGCTGATGGGAGGTGACGCTGATAGGAGCGGGGAGGACCACATGAGATCCGAGGAGGCGGACTGCACCACACAGCTGGCCCCACATGCATTCCCCCACAGCGAGTGACTGAAAACCCACCAGACACAATCGCACCCTGATTAGGCTGAAGCCTTTATACACAGTACAAGCGAGCAGCAAAACACAACGAACAGAAGAAGGAAATGGCCACTGTACATACCGGTAGCTCCTTTCTTTGCCCTATGGGGGGAAAGGGATGAGCATTAGTTACCCTGAAAGTATCATGCATCGCCACACACTTGATAACACAGGGCCCTTTGGGCAACTGTCTTCAGGGTCTGGGTTGGTAAAGGGGCCAGGGATGAGGACCATGAAGAAGGCTGGGCTGCTGCCCTGCTCCAAACAAAGCCCGCTCTCTCTGGGGCCTTGGGCCAGAGGCATTTGGAGTCTGCTGAACCTGCAGAGTACTGGCTCGAGCTCCAGGGACTCTGACAGGGCGTGAGTAGCCCAGTCACCAGATGAGTCTTCTGTCCTGTTTTCTGCCTGCGTAGCCAGCCTAGCAGAGGGTGGTGGCAAGGAGGTGGCAGGGCTGGCAGTTAGATCTTATTTCCTCTAACATGAAGAGCTGGACTTGGACTCTAAGACCCTTCCTATGACCAACTTGAATTCTATAATTCTACGACTCTAATTTTATTCTTTGCTACTTGACAAATGTTCACTGTCGCATGACACAAGTAATGGCCAGGGAGGCCAGGTCTCAGTCTGAACTTCTAGCGTGTTTTTCTTTTTTAAATCAACCATGCTGAAAACAGTTTTTAGAACGTAAGTTAAAACAACCAGGTTCAAGGCACATATTTAACATTTAGCCGTAATTGCATGTGAGTTGCAGTATCTATTGGATTCCTTCCTTCAAGAACTTCTACCTAAATCCTAGTACGGGCACCACCATCTTTAGAATCAGGTTTTTTTTTAAGTCAATTTGTAAGTACAATCCAAACGAAAATCTCTTTTTTAATTTTAGCAGATGCTCAAGGATTGCTTACCTTGAAGTCAAGGTTGCTAACAGCAACAAACTTTTCCAATAAATGTGGCAAAATGCAATGCACATCTTTATGCTAATGCCTTATACTTTTATACCATTTTCATCCATAGATTTCAAATGATTTGATAGTTACAGCTTCTCTTTAAAATACCTTTAAAAGGCACCTGCCTCTTATCATCCCTTCTTTTTGCCACTAAGAAATCCTGAAATTCAGATGACCTAATACCCCAAGATACTGGGGCATAAGGAGAAACTTGAATCTAGAATCCTAAACGCACTGAGTTTTAGTTGTGAAGAAGGATCCAACAAAATTAAAAAATAATGGCTATGGTGTCTTAAGCATTCACTGTACATCAGGAGCACTGCAAAGTGCTTTCTTGGCATTTGTTTAATTGGTTAGTTTTACAAATAAGGAAATTGAAGCTCACAAAGGCTGTCACTTTCCCAGAGCCATGTCTGAACAAGATGGTAGAGCTGGGATTTGAACCCAGGCCTTGCCTAACTCCAAAGTCGAAGCTCAGAACCATCACACTGTGCTCTAAGAGCTACCAAGAGTCTAAAACCCTGGCTCTGGGAGGCCTGTGATGAGCCAGTGTTCTGTCCACTCCACGGTTGTCCCAAACAGAGGCGTAGGCATGAGCAGATGAGGACAGAGAGACCTGCCCACGTCTGCAGCCCCCGAGGGCAAGAGACTGGGGCCACATGCAAAAGGACAATGGCGGTTCAGTCACACAAAAGCCTGACTGAGTTGCTAGAGCCAAAAGCTTAATTCCCTCATCTGGCTTTTTGTGCTTTCTTTAATTTCATCCCCTGCTAAAATATTCTGCAAATCAGAGCACAGGCTACTCCATCACTACTCACAATGGGGTTTTCTGAAGCTTTTGTCCAGGGCAAGGTCACCCGAAGTTTGATGGCTCAGTTTCACTGTGACACCATCAGGGACAGGGTAGGTTGCCAGAGAAGCCAAAGGAATGTTTTCCTGGCCCTGCTGGTGACCTTTAAAGAGGGAACACCAGGCTCAACAGCAGCTGGGATTCCTTGGGCTCCCATCTGCACTTCTCTCCTTCATACCAGGCCCCATGCCTGGGAGAGAAATCCTGAGGAAAGGGCCCAGCCCACCACTGACTTACAGAGGCTTCTTGTCCTCCCCAGTCTTGCAGGGGCAGTGTCTGTAGATGACTTTGGCTATCAGGATGATCAGAGACACCAGAAAGCCCAGGAGCAATATGGAGCCCAGAGTGATGACAAAAGGCACATACCACGCGGATGGAGAATACACATTCTCCCTGAGGATCTGGTAGGTGACCCTGGGCTGGAATGACAGAGAGAAGGGGTGAGGCAGGGGGCAGCGTCTGTGATGTCAGCATTCCTTGTGTCCAGTGTTTATTCTATTCTTTGTCCCTGCTCTGCAGACTGCGCATCTGTGTGCTCCTAGTTCTTATTGCTGTCACCCATCTCCTGATTTACATGTAGTCTTTGCAAAAGTCCATTAGACCAAAGCTCAGGAAAATTTAGGGAACTGAAAAGCAACTCCAGGCCTAATTTCATTCTCTGTCTCTCTCTTCTCCTTCCCCAAAGCTAAAGTGTCCCTTTGCTACTTTTCAGCTACCACACAGCATAATCCAGGGACTAATAGTCATGTCTCTCCCTGAGAAGGCGTGAGCCATACAAGTTGTGTTTTGTTAAAACCTTGTAGGATTTTTGTGTTCATACAGTGCAGCTGTCACTGCCAGATGAGTGGGCTGCTATCACAACTGAACCCCAAGTTCAGCATCTGCTTCCTGGAGTAGGAGACAGATAGGAAGTAGGCTATGGAGATTTCAGGATTGGAGATGTCACAGTTGGGTCATGTTCTAAGCCCAAGAAAGGTGTAAGCCCAGTGCCTTGCTCAGGGTCAAGCAGGACTTAAAGAAAAACAAGTCCTTCCCAGTCTTGAGCAATTTTCCCCTCCTCACCTCCCTTTCCCTTGTAGCTGTAATTCCTTGTTCTGGTACAGATAAAATTGACAAGTATGTCCTGTAAACAAAATTTATGATGTTCTGCTCTCGTATGATTCATAAGACACTGTCTTCTTTCAAGACAAAGTTACAAAACTCTCTGCCCTTGTCCTATTCCAGTAAACTCACTTGCTATGTCACTAGAAAAACCACCCCCTTTGATGCTGGAACTTCTCTTTGTTCAATGCTCAGCCATTTTGGACACAAAGTCTGCTGAGTTGGTGTGTATACCTTAAACCTAAAATAAATCCTCCTGACTCCCATTTGGTTTCTCTTGTCCCTTAAAATTCTGCAACAAGGGGAACTTACTGGCTCCTACCACACTGGCAGTCTTCAGAGGTACCACATGACTCTGCTCAAGGAGGTCATATTGACTGGACACAGGAGACAGAAGCAGCCCCCACTTTCAGGCAGACTCAGAGGCAGAAGCTGGCCACCTTCATAGGTCATTTTCCCTGGCATGCTACAATACAGGGTGGCTGACTCAGGTGGGCTTTAACTAAGAGGAGGAGGAAAGGGGACAGCAAGAGAGGGGCCAGCACCTCTCAGGGACAGGGGAGACGATCTCATTGTAGACTCCAAGGCTCTCCCTTCCTTCCCCACACTGATTCTGACATGGCATCTGTTTATTTCCTTCCTACACTTACCACAGCTTGTAATTATTAATTTATGCATGCTCCACCCCCAGAGTTTTAGATCCAGTAAGTTGGGAGAAAGGGTTGGGGATTCTGGGTTCCACCCTTCTTCCCTGGAGGCTGTGGGGATGGCCTTGGTTGTGTGAGTTGTGACTTCCACAATCTGGAGTAGGTCTGAAAATCTGTGTTTCTAACAAGCGTCTGAGAGAGGCTGACGCTGCTGGTCTGGGGACCACACCTGGAGAAGCTCTCGCCTGTGCTATTTGCTCCCTGAGAGCAGGGGTTGTTTTTGGTTTGTTCATTAAAGTGATCAGCATGTGTAAGCACTAAATCAATATTGGTAGATTGGATGGATTTTTTTTTTTTGGAGTGAAGGTGGGGAGTAGGGTACACATCACCTCTTGTAAAGAAGTCAAGGCAACCAGCTACCTGCCTCACGGGCTCTAGGTTGCAGAGCTCTTGAGAACAAGCAGAGGGAGCTGTAAAGGAAGCAACTGGCCAATGCCTAAGAAAATTGGCTCCGTGGCACACGTGCCACAGGTGGCCAATGTCTGGTCTATCACAGGTGCCTGCACACACATATGCTCTCTCTTTTTTTAAAAAAATCAGAACCAGAAGTCAGTGGTTCTATAAATGCAGGGTTTCCACCCTCAGTGGCCACTCCAATCCAGCCAAATACTCCAGCTCTTTTCAGTCCATCCCCCACTTCTCTGGGGTCAAAGGGCCCCATTAGTATAAACCTCAAGGGCTTATGGCCGGGGACTCCTGGTCCCCAAGCCCTTACCCTGGGAGTTGTGGTGATGATGGTAGTTGGGTGCGGAATGACCTTAACACTCAGCGTCACTGTTCCTGTTTCAACAAGAGCCCTAGCTTTCGTCCTGCTGGACAGCAAGTTGTCATCAGTTATGTAGACGAGTAGTTTATAGTCCCAGATCTTGTCGAGGCCACCAGCGTAGTCAAAGCGGGATGCAAGCAGCAGGTGTGTAACATTGGAGCCAGCACTGGGAGAGAGGGTGAAGTGACTGTTGACATTGCCTAAATGAGATTTGATACAGGAGTGTTGGTAAGAGGAAGAAAAGAGAGTACAGAATAAAGGAACAGAAGAAAACTGCATTTTATCTTTTCCTCAAATGCCCACCCCCAAGTGTGGACCACTTTTCTAATGGCCCAAGGCTGGTCAGTGATGTGCCAAAGATCCCCAAGTACCAATGTCTTCCTTAGTACCAGGAAACTCTTGTCTATGACCGATGTGGCTGCAAATGAGAGTGAGTAGAAAGAAACCACAACACACTTGTCCTGGGTGTCACCAGGCAGAGAAAGTTCATAATCCTGGTGTAGCTTCCCACCCAGCATTTACAATGTTTGGTAACAACGTACGTGGTGTGATTAAATAATACAGTGAATGTTTGAATAAAAAGTTAAAAAAAATTATTACAGTGAAAGACGCATTACCATTTTAATCCTCTCAAAATAATCCCCACTACTTTGAACACATTTATCCCATCACTCTTGCCACTTCTGAAGTAGTTCTCTTTGTAAATGTCTTTTCATGGCTGCCTCAATGCCCTGAATCAATTAAAATGTTTATAGCAATTTCTGTCAAATAAAAAACATTCTGGTATGTTCCTATCCACCTTATTTACTGGATCTGGCAACAAGTGACTTCTGGCTCTTCCCCAAAGTCAAAATGACCATGAAAAGTAAACATTTTAAATCCATTCTGGACATCGGAGCAGCCTCAACAGCGCGACTGAAGCCACTCAGGGAAGAGGACTCCCAGAGCTGCTTCAGAAAGTGGCGAGAACATGGGATGAGTGTGTTCAAAGTGAGGTGGTGTATTTTGCGGGGTTAAAGCCGTGTGTTTTTTACTGTAATAGATTTTTTTTTTTTTAATTTAAGCCTTCACGGTGTTCTTGATCACACCTTGACTATAACTCCCACTCAGACCAGGGAGTGGGCATCGAGAAAGTAGAGCAGGCCACACAGCTATAGCCGAGTTCCCCAGTGCTCATCGTGGAACCTGGCTGGCTGGTCACTCTGGATCCAGGTGTCCCTGGTGTCCTCCGAAGGAGCTACAGCCCCCTCATCTGCACTCACCCCATCTCTCCCCCAAACATACACAAGCTCTTTGGGGGCACCCGGCTCAGCTCAGGGAGCCTGGGGCAGGAAGGGTGCAGCCAAGCGTGGCTCTTGCTCATTCCTCCAGTGGCTCCAGCCTCATTACCGACTGAAAATCAGTAAATGGTGCAGGAGATGATGCAATTTTTCCTCCCTTAGCAGCAAAGTGCTCTGTAAAGGCCTTAGGCCTCTCTCTCAGTATGGATTATTTCCATCTCTGGCAAGTGTGGTCTCAGGCAGCGTCTGCCCCTGGGTTTTGCGACACTGCTGGCTCAGAGACTTCCTACTGTTCAAGTTCCTGCTCTGCCAGGGCTCAGCGGGCAGCTGAGAAGGAATTTTAGTCTTGCGCATGGAATTGTTCTGCTTGTTTGGGTTTCAATCTCTGGCCCCAGCACTTCATTAGACGAGCTATTTTGGTCTAATTTTCATTGAAGGGTGTTCTTTTTTTTCCCCCCTTCACACAACAGTATATTTTTTTAAAAAGAGAAAATGAATGGAGCAGAAGAGAATTGCTGAGGACACGTTTCAAAATGCATTTTATCTGTTTAATCTATTATTATCCTGAGACAGGCCTGGGCTTCCCCGCCCCACAACAAGCTTTCAGGAAAAGAGGTGGCTGAGGATTTGGACTAATTTTTTCTTTAAATTACACTGATGTCACTTATGACTCATATTATAGTCTGGGAATTGGGAGGATCCACCATCAAAGGGGTTCACCCTTCCTAGGGCCTTTGGGGGGCCTTGTATGGGTTCTGGGGGAGTGAGGTGTGGCGGGAAGCCACAGAGCACCCTGGGAAACACAGGGGCCATTAGACTCTCCACCCTCAACTTCCCCATCTAACCTTCCCCGTCCCCACACCCTGTCCAGGTCGGTGTGTGAGCTCAGACCCCCCCAAACCCTCTGGAGCCTGGAGTCCCCAGAGGCAGGCTTGGGGCGATTGACACCAAGCACTGTACCTGGGCCAATGGTGTAACGAAAAGATCTGGGGCTGGAATCCAGGTCAGTGCACGTGAGCTTGAAATTCTGAATATTTGTGCCAACTTGCAGATCCACCGGGATGGCCAGGAAATAAGAGTTGGGGGTGCACATGGGCTTTTCATCATTTTCTCCAAGGATGTTCACGGTAACCTAGCACAGCGACAAGGATCGTGCTGAAGAGCTGAAAGTGCTGGGAGCTCACCATGTTCCCCGTGAGATCCCAGCTGCACGCCTGATGTGGGCCAGCTCGTTTACCCTCACAGGACAGAGCGGACATGACCGTGCCTACTTCACAGAGGAGGAAAAGGAGGTGTTGCGAGACCAGCTGGCATTTTAATCCTGTTCTGTCCTCCTGCAAATCCTGTGCTGTTCACTGCACACACATGCTTCCGTGTGCATGTAGTATGCATAACACTCACATGCTCCCCACTCCTCGCACCTGGATGAGTGAGCTCCCCAAAGAAATGCTAAGCTCTTTTGCAGCAATGGTGGGCTCACAGGGACCCTGTGTACTTCCTTGTTCACAGTCCCTTGTAAACTGAAGTTCAGTCTCTAACTTTAGCACACACAGCAGGGGTTCTCAACTCTGGATCCATTTTCTTGGGCTCACTTCAGACCAAGTGAACTGCCATCCCTGGACATTAGGGGTCTGGGAAGGTTCTTTCATGCTCCCCAGCTGATTCTAAGATGCAGCCAGGGCTGAGCAATGCTGGGCCTAAATGAGCAGGCCTGGTTAAACTGGGCTCTCATTTATAACCTGGGCTATTAATGTCGCGCTGAGCCTGGGAGCTGACCTGCCCAAGCAGGACCAGACTGTGCTTTCATTGCTGCCTTTTACGACTGGTGGATTGGCATGTAGACTGGGATGCCTGCCAGCACGGATTCATAGAACAGCAGCCCTGAAAGGGATTTGTGTGATCATTTAGTTCATCGCCCTTTTAAAAAGCTTAAGAATTTTGAGTCGTAGTCATTCTACTTTTGAAATTTGGGGATTTCAGCTATTTCTGAGTCTGAGAATAAATTGAAATGTTCACTCTAGTTAGCTCCCAAAGTGGAGTCCATTCATTTTTCTCAAATAACACCCAGCCTAACAAACACTGCAATTATCTCCCACTTTGCCTGGCTGGCAATGCTGAACCTCACACATCACTGAAAATATCATCCTGTTAATTCAAAGCGAGTCGTTGGAGGAGCTCCACTGTTCAGGTGTTGGGTTATCAGGTAACTCTCCACTTAAGTACAGAAATAGGGACATGGAGATAAGCCCTGCTCGGACCTTGTTGGGAAATTGGGATCAAAGTTGAGAAATGAACTCATGCTCCTGACTCAGCCGGTCATTGTCTGTGTCACACAGGGCTGCCTGCTGCTAGCTGAGTCCCGTTGCCTTCATGCTTTTCACTTTATCACTGGGAAAGAACAAGAAGTCACTAATCTTTGTGGCTGTCATGGCGCCCTCAGATAATCCCAACCAATGACTCCACAGACTTAGCTACTCAAAGGGTGGCCTTGAACCAGGAGCACTGTCACCCCAGGAAGAATGTTAGACATGCAGGACCTTGGGCCCTGCACCTGCTCAGGAGAGTTCACATTTCACAGGGTCTCAGCATCAAGGGTGGGAAGCAGTGAGCAGTAGGCATCAGCTATGGTTTGGATGAGTCACCTCAAAGGCCCCCATGCTAAAAGCTTGGTTACCAGGATAGGGAATGAAGTGAGGCCTTGTGGGAGATCCTTGAGTTATTGAGGACACGCCCCCCAGGGGATTGTGGGGCCCTGGCCCACTTTCTCCCTCTACTTCCTGGATCCAGATGTGAGCACTCACTAAAACACACATTCCTGCCATGATGTGCCACCCTTGCCAAAGGCCCCAAACAAATGGGGCCACCTAATCGTGGACTGAACCTCCTGAATCATGAGTCATCATGAATAGCCTGCATCAGGTATTTTATGACAGTGACACAAAGCTAACTAATACAGCCTCATTGTAAGATCTACCCCATTTGGTGTGGTGTGTATGGGGTAGGGAGGAGATGAATAATTGAAAAGCCACATCCATATTCCAGCCTGAGTCTCTCACTGCTGCTCATTGTGAAGGGAAAGTGAGATGTAAGGAAACAGGAGAAATCTTGTCCCACAAAGTGGCTTTGTGGGTTCAGCAGATATCCCAGCATCTGGCCATCGATCTCACCACTTCTCACAGTCATCCACAAACTTGGACCTCAAATAGAGGTGCAAATACTTATGTCTGGGGCCGGGGATATAGCTCAGTGGTGCCACTGCCTGCCTTGCAAGCTCAAGATCCCAAGTTCAATCCCCAGTACCAAAAAACAAAAATTTATGTCTGGGCACTGCTACTTGTTTCTCATCACATCTGCAAGTTGTGCCCTGTGAAGATTCCTCACTGCTACAGCCACACTTTGGGGGTGCCAGGGAGACCCCAAGTCAACCGCCTGGGTGAGTGAGTGAGAATATACCAAACAGCCCCACTCACAGTGACTGAGCTCGTGTCCTCTCCATTGGAGGCCTGGATTCTGAGAATGTAGACGGGCGTGGTTTCATGGTCTGTCTTGGTTACTAGCTGGAGTTCTCCCGTCTTGGGATTAATCCAAAATATATTGGGGTGCTGGGGGCTAGCCCCTCCACTGGAGATGGAGTATGTGATACTGCTCTGGGGGAAGTCCTCATCTGTTGCTCGAACTTGTCCAACCCGGGTTCTAGCTGGAAAATAAAGTGCCTGCCATCAGTCCTAATCAGGTAGGGGTTGGGGTGACCCAGGAAGAGATGTTCTCACTGCCATGGGCAGAAAGGCTTTGGGAGGCCTCCTTCCTGTTCAAAATCTCTGCTGCATTTTATATCTTCAATCCTACTATAGTCAAATAACGCTAATGAGCAGCTCCCAGGTAACTGGAACTATGACCCGAGCACTGCTGTGAAGTGTGGAAGATGGCTCACACCTTTACAGAGAATCAAGGATGCCAATTATTTTGCTACCATAAACAACAGTGCAAAGAACATCCGTCCTCACACACTCCTTTTGGCACCGGTGCTGCCTAAAAGTCTCTGGTATTTTCAACATTTTCTCTAACAAGCATGAATTGCTCTTATAAACAAGATGAAAAAATAAATATTTTTTTAAAGAACTTAGCCACTGATGATTATGGAGTATAGTTTTCAATCCTCTTTCATTTTGTTTATTTTACAAATATTGTTGGTGGGGCTGCTGGAGTTCTGGCTTCTTGTTTTATAGACGCTCTTGCTCATAAACTACTCTCCTCCAGGACAAAAACATTCTCTCAATTAGTTCTGTGGCCTCAGCACCAAGGGTGTGATGCAGAGCTGGTGGTCAAAAATAATTGTCATAAAATCTGTGCAATCATAAAAAGCCTGTTCCCAATGAATGCACTATTCTCTGGGTAAGGTATTGTTCACTGGGTAAAGTGAGAAATTAAAAGCATTTTCTTTGGACTTTCTTTTTGTGTTTTGTTTTAAAACTTAATTGTCAGGAAATGGAGAACATCAAAAAGAGAGAATAAAATAGGGAAGAGACAATTTTCAAGAGAGTGTTTTGGTTTTGGTGTGGTTTAGGTTTTAAATATGGAAGAAGTATCCCTGGTCTGGAGATGGAAGGCTGTGGGTAAGTCCATTACTGTGGAGAGTTTATGTGCCAGATTATCCCGGAGAGCTAACAGTACACTGAGGGGCAGAGCTGAGAAGCTGGGAGTTGGGAGTCTTTTCTCAATGAGGGAGGAGCCTGCAGAACCCAAGGTGCTACCAAGGGCAAGGAAAAAGGCCTCCGATGAATCTGAGGAGAGGAGAGAGAAATGTCTGTATTTTTAAATGAAGGAAATAGAGAAATGGGGAGTTTTTAAATTTCAGTTCTCTACAGAAAGGAGGATTAGTTGAATCAGACAAACAGACAGGGAAGCAATAGGGGGGTCTCCGAGAAATGCAATTTAATCAACAGTTTTCAAAATCCGAGCTTTCCCAGAAGGATTCTGCAACAGCAAGGACAATTTTTAAAAATAAGAGAGGCAACACACAGGAATCAGTTGCTGCGTACTCTACCACCAAGGCCCTCTGGGAGGTGCTCTGTCTTCCCGGGCAGACATTTGCCGGCAGTCTGGCAGGAAGGCTGGGGTCCGAGTCTCAGAACTTACCTGGTCTTGTCTCTGACACCTCGAACACATAGGATGGCCTCTCAAAGACAAGAGGAAACTCATTTTCTGGGCTTGTTAAGATAGATATGTGGATGTTTTCTAAAAATGGAAATGGAAACAACCTTAAATGGTAATCATTATTCATTAGTTTATTCAACTTTGTTTTTTCAATACTAGGAGTTGAACCAAGGGGCTAGCACATGCTAGGCAAGTGCTCTACCATGGAGCTACATCCCCAGCCATTTAAAAATGTTTTTACTTTGAGACATGGTCTCACTAAGCTGCCCAGGCTGGACTCAAACATGCAGTCCTCCTGCCTCAGCCTCACAAGTAGCTAGGATTACAGGCATGCACATTCAACATTTTTGAAGCACCTTCTGAGTGCGAGCTCTGGGATACAGGTGGACAAGACCTACTTGTTCCTCACCCAAAGATACTTACGGTGGAATTGTTAGCTGAGCCTGACAAGGACAGAGTTAGAGAAATGAGGGAGGAGTGTGCAGTGTGTTTGGGGGGATGTTCTAGGCATTCGCAAGAAGACAGAGGTATAAAACTGCATGATTCACTCAGGGCAACTGCAAGTGGTTTGGTTTAGTTGGAAAAAAGGGACCTGGGAGGAGAGGGGCCAGAACAGTAGCTAACAAGGTGAGCAGCGGCCACATGATGGAAGTCTCTGTGTGCCGAGCCAGAGTTTGCACTTGAACTTGACAGCCGCAGGACACCACAAGGAAGTGATATGATGGTGTCTGCATTTCCTAGAAAAATCATGCACAAACAAGAAAGATGCACTGGAAAGGAACAACACTGAGGCAGACAGACTCTTTCAAAAGAGTCTTAAGTGTTGCAATTCAGCCAGGAAAGAGGAGGGCCCTGCTTAGAGCCATGCTAATGGGATGGGGAGACCAAACACGATTCCTAGAATTGCCTGTGCAGTTTCATCACTGGTGCTCATGGAACAGGCCCATGACATAAATGAAAATGATACTTGCTTTTGTAATAAGGAGGGGCAACATCCTGCACCTGGATCATCACAGTGTACTGATTGCCAGCAGCCAGATTGCTTGGATTCTCATAGTCTAGATCACCAATCAACTGGATTAAAACAGAGAAATTAGATTATACAGAATAAACAATCATATATATATATATATATATATATATATATATAGGTTGTTGGATGACACTATGAATGGAGTTGGTGAGACTCTTGGCACTGAGAAAGGGCTGGGCTGGGAGGCGGAGGAGGAGGTGGGGCGGAAGGAAGGCTTTCGGCCACTTGCTCTCCTTCCAGACACTGGACTGCTGCTGCAGACACCCCAAGATGCCACCCACTTGTCCCTGTCCCTCCCGCTCCCCTCCTTCCCCAAGGCCCTCCAGGAGGAGTCCCGTAAGCAAAGGTCTCCCAGGGCTTGCTGGTCACCTTTCATTTTGCCTCCCGCCCCTTGCATGCTATTCGCACCCTCCCTGTCTCATTCCCCTTTGGGTCTTCAACTGTTCTGCGGTGCAGAATCTAGCAGGACACACTGAGGCCCAGCCCTGCTTCCCAAATAAACAAAATGCAGAGTGCAGAGGGCACTAACGTGTCCATAAAAGCACACTAAGCAGGCAGAGAAACTGAGCTAGGTAGGGAAGAATCCAGTCCCTGGCACCCCCAGCCCAGCTATGTATAACAAAACAGTTCCTGGAACCCAGGTAAAATAAAGAGCAAACAGGGAGCACAGGCTCACTATTAAGTCAGTGAGTTGCAGTGGCTCAGAGAGGGGACTACCTTGGAAATCTCTTTCTGTGGGGCAGCAAAAGCATTGTACCTGTCGGACCAGCTTCCCAAATGCCCTTTTGATGATGCAATGACCATAAACTGACCACAATTTTCCCAGAGTCAGCTGGATCCTGTAAAAATCTGCGGCTGCTCCCCACTCCAGATGGCGCAGTGAAGTTGAATGTGTTGTTTGGGGCTTCACTGTCACTATCAAAGCAGAACTTGTTCAGGTCCAGGAGCAATGTCCCGTTGGCCACTCTTTCTGGCACCATAATGCTGAGCGAGAAGACACAATTCAATCATTTCTGTCTTCCAACAGAGACTGAGCGCTCCTTCTGACCTAGACAGCGTCCCTTGATTTCCAGTCGGAAGCCAGGCCTGGGAGCCTCCTCACAGTCTCCCTGCTTCTGCCCTTGCCTCCTTTCAGGTGATTTTAACATAGTTGAGGGAGGCATCCTATTTAAATGTCACGCTGAGTTGCCTCTCTGCTCCTAAGTCCTCATTTCCCTCGAAGTCCTGACACTGAACACAGGACCTACAGGACTCTCTCTGGCCTCCTCTCCTCCTGACTCCTCCTTTGCAGGCTCCTGTCGCCTCCTGGAGCTCCCAGCCCACCCCCCTCCATTACTTGAGGGTCTCTCCACACGCCCCAAGTTCCACCTACAAGGCTCCCGCTGAAATTTGGATGCTGAATGTCCTCCAAGACTTTGTCCCCACGGTGGTGCTGCTGGGAGGCAGTAGAACTTGAAGCGAAGGACCTGTGTGGGGTCCTTCAGTCATGCATCTGCACCCTTGAAGGGGATGTGGGACCCCGGCTACTTCCTCTCCATGATGTGCTGTTGCACCACAGGGCCAAAGCAACAGAGCCCACCAGGGATGGACTGGACTCGTCAAAATCAGGAGCCAAAATAAACCTTTTCTCCTTATAATTCGGTTGTCTCTGGTATTTGTTATTATTTCAGAAAGCTGAGTGATACCTTCGCTCTTCCACTTTCATTAGCCTCTAACCAAATGCCACCTTCCCGGTGAGGCCACCCTATCTAATCAGCAGTGATGCCTGTCCATTGTGCCCTCCCCTGTTCCACTTTGTATTTATAATTCTTAGCACTCACCACTGTTCAACACACTATCACAACACAGCTCGATCAATGAACATGCATTGCACTTACTTTTATCCCAGCCATTGTCTATGTCCCACCTAGAATGAGTGCCACATGGGCAGGGATGTTTGCTTTGTTTTTAGCACTCAATAAATATTTGTAGAATGCGTGAATGAATGCTAGCACTCAAGGACGCAATTGCGAAGACAAATGTAAGAGAAATATAAATTCTACACCCTGCCTGCAGGAGTGTAAAGTCTGGATAGAGAAAACCCCTGTGCCCCTGTGCCTCATCCCCCATGCTTTGAAAGTTGGGAATTCCTCGGTGTGTGTCCCTGGGGCTTCACTGTCACAGAAGGGCCTCCCAATATCCTAGCCTCATTGATTCTAAAGGGATTTATTCAGGGTTGAACGCAGGGGTTCCGTTCTAACACAGCTGAGGAAAGCTGCCAGGAGACTGTGATGAAGGCTAATGTTGTGGCCTTCAATTCATTCGAGACCCTTTTCATGTCTCTAGGATTCTATTCCTCCATCCATAACATGGACATGAACTGTGTCAGTTAGCTTTTGCCACTTAACACACCAGCCCCAAACTTGGTGACTTCGGGCAGGGATCGTTCACCATTTCTCACAATGCTACTGGTTACCCAGCAGTTCTCTTGGTCCCAGCTGGACCCGGCTGTTCTCTTTGGTCCCTGGCAGCTCCCCCTACCCAGGGCTGGAGGTCTAGGATGGCCGTGCTCCAGTGGCTGGCAGAGGGGAGGCGCTCGCTCTATGCTTTCCTGTTGTCCCTTCTCCCCAGGAGCTGGTGCAGACTTTCATGTGGAATCTCAAGCATCCAAAAGTAGCGAGAGGGCAAGTCCCAAAGCACAAGCACTCTTTGAGCCTCCACTGTGCCATGTTCGGGGTGTTCCAGTGGCCAGAGCAGCTTCCGAGGTCAAGCCCAGGTTCCAGCAGGAAGAGGAGCATCTCTCGGGGAGGAGCAGCAAAGTCACATTGGACAGGAGCTGCACAGACAGCGAGGGGTCTGGGGCTGGGTTTTACTGTTACCATTGCTTGGGGGATCTTGCTTCGTTTCATTTTTGCTACCTACCTCAATCATATTTTGCCTTGGCAGAATTTCTTGCAAAAGTATATTGTGGCTATCAGAAGACCTTGTGCCATGGGCTGGCATCAACCACAGCCCCACACTCCAGTGAGGCCACGTGCCAATGACAGATGTGGCAGAGGTCTTAGGACAGGCTCTTTCTGTCCCTGGATAGCTGACTCTGGCTTCCAGACTCAGGTGCCCTCATCGGCCATTCCTTAAACTGCGTGTGGCCAAGAACATTTTCAGCCACTTTCTGTCTCTTTCCTTTACGCAGGTCAAACGTACATGAAGGACTGAGGACTCCCCAGCCTTGTACAGCCCTTGCCCATTTTCTTCCCCAGGCATCTCCCCTAACAATAGAGAGAAAAGGTTTGCACATTTAATCGTCTCTTGGCAGCTGGTTCCTAGGACACTCAGAGTAACAAGCGTTAAGTTCTTTAATCCTCTGTACCTTTTTCTCCAACCAAATCGTGGCCTACCTGCGTTCCACAGCCTCGCTTACTGGTGCCTAACATGGGGTCTGAGCTCCCTCACAGTGGGGCAAAGGCCCACACCAAGGCTGTCTTGGCTGCTGGAGGCGACTGGGTCTGCTTGCTGCAGAGGAAGCTGCATGTGTGCCTGTGTCTCCCTATCACTCCTGGGTTTTGGCAGATCGAGTTCCTGCATTCTCACTGCTGCCTCAGTAGCCCAACACTGAGGTTTTACTTGTAAGCACTTAAAATACAGTACTGGAGGGGAGTAAAATAAAACAGATATCATGTATTAAACGCCAGCTGCTTGCTCTCTCCTCACAAGCTCCCGAAAAGCACCCCTAACCCCTCATCTCCACGAGGTTTGTGCTCGTCCTCTTTTTACAGGGGAAGGAAAGCCAGTTCAGAGTAGTTTCCTGCCTGACCAAGGAAGCGAGCGCCTCCAGACGTGGACCTTAAGTGAGCATCCAGACCCATGGAGGGACATTTGAGATGTGAGCCTTGATTACAACTCTGCAGAATCGGGGAGATGGCACCAGCCAAAGAATCCTGGGTCCTGAAGCCAGACATTTCAGGCGCTGCAATAAAGCCTCTGCCCTTGACCCCTCTGGGCTGGCAGCCACCTTTTCCCCTGTCTGGTGACCTCTTCCTTCCTTCCTTCCTTCCTTCCTTCCTTCCTTCCTTCCTTCCTTCTTCACTTCCCTCCTTCCTTTCTTTCTCTCCCTCTATAGTTCAGGCTGGCCTTGAACTCCCAGCGATCCGTCTGCCTCAGTCTCCAGAGTACTGGGTTTACAGGACGTCCTTTCAGCGTGTTCTTTCCTTCTTCCCTGACACTCTTGTCTTTTACTCCTAAGCGCAGGACGCCTGCATCTTATCGTGGCCTCGGAGCCACTGACCGCGGGCCCCTGCCTGCAGAAGTAGCTGCACCAGCAGCACGCAGAATCGCCGCCCTTGCTGCCCCTGCTCACAGTCAGCTTGAGAAGCGCCAGGCAATTTACAGCCGGAGCTAGGCTGTCTCAGCGCCTTGGACGCCTTGCTGGGACCCTGCGCTCATTCATCACCAGCCTGGGAAGCCGCGGGCCTCTGGGCTGAGGGCCGGGGCCTGCAGCACCCCGCGGAGACAGCAGGGGGCGCCCGCCGCCTCCAGGCCTCCCTCAGTCTCTCCGGCCGCCAGGTCTGGACCAGGAGGCTGGGCCCCTAGGCGCTGCCCACCCACTGCTGCCTGCTCTGGGACAATGTTAGAGAGACTGGCAGCCCCGTTTCTGTCCCCCGTGTGTGCCTGGCTTTGCCACAGTGGCATGGAGAAGGGGTTAAGGATAGGGGGTGCCGCTGTCCAGCTGCACGGGAGCAGGGGACACAGACTGGGCCCTGAGAGGGAGGACTTCCGCTTCGGGGCCTCTTTTGGCTTTGCTAGGAGGTCTGGGAATCACTGTCCCTGGAAAAGCCCGGAGGTCAGGCTTGACCTCGTGTAGAATCAGCTTCGGTCTTACACACAATTAGTCCAGCTACTGACTTAGGGTTGGCCTTCAGGGTGAATTTGGAGGGAAGCATGATGGGCTTGCCCTGGACAGGACATTCAAAATGTGATGTCACCAGCTGGCTGGAACACATCCTGCAAACTGTCCTTGTCACCTCTGGGGACTCTGGGCTATAGAAGCCAGACGTGCCATGAACAGAAGGGAGGCCTCTCCAGGTACCAGATGCCCAGAGTTCTTACCCCTGGGTCCTCTTCCTCCAGAGAAGCAGGGGAACAGGAAGAGAAGGGGACCTAGGAGGGCAGATGCCAAGAGAAGAATTTCTCAGGATGCTCTAGGACCACCCCAGAGTGCTGGCATAGACTTAGATTTTTAAGGAAAGGGTAAGTGCGACTCTGCAAAACATCTCCACTCCATCTCTAGGGCCTGGGCTTCCTTAACAGTTCAATTCATGTCTGCAGTGGTGTGGAAGTCCTGATCCTGGCTCCCCATGGCAACCATCCCTAACCATTTCAGAGACTGAGGTGTAGGAATGCTTAGGTGGGGAGCGGAGCCTCTCACACACACCATCTGGCTGGGACTGAGTTCATGGGGTCTCAGCAGGAAGCAGATGGCAAATTAGGCTAATTCTAGAGGATGAGAAAAGGGATTCTCACCAAGGTGCACACAGGGGACATGGACTTCTCAAGGAGTGGAGGACGTTACCATCCCCAGACCCAGAACCCCGGGGCAGAGTGCTATGTGCAGGCCACTGCTCCCTCATAGGAGCTGAGCCCTTCAGAGGGTGGAAGCAGAAAGCCAGGTGACAATAACCCTGATCTCACTCTCCCCCTTTCTAGGCCTCCTCGCTGGCCAAAGAAGCCCCATAAGGCAAGGAAGCCAGCCAGTACCCTCCTCGTGGGGCACACGGCAGGGTGGAAAGTAATGGGCAGATGAGGGATTCGTCCAGCACAAAGTGCAACTGTTCTGATTTCAGACTCGGCTACATGGATTCTCCAGCTCTATGCAGGGTGTGTCCATTGGGAGAACTCCAAGACATTGATAAGCATAATAAAGGAATTTCTATTTCTACTGCTCACCCCAGACTATCTTTGTCTGGAGCCCTTTGTCCTCTGGATGGCTGTACTGTGGATTTATTGGCTCTGTATCCAAAGTCACCTAGCACAAACTTGTAAAACCAAAGATAAACACAAGAGACTTTCCCCATGGAGACATCTGAGACACACACCTGCTCTGGCTTCAGCCTGGCTGCAGACACTGGGTACCCTTTTGGCGAGGGTCACTTCTGAGGTACCACCTCCCCCAGAGCACCCCCCTTCAGACTCCCAAGAAATAAGACACTGGCTGGCACAGAAACTGCAGAGATGAAGCTAACTCGGGGAATCACTAGTCTTGTGGCTTTTTAATAAAATAGTAGAAAGACAATACTGTTGGCAAGGAGGCATATTAACCCAGAATCACAAGGGACTTTGTTTTAAAATAATTGTGAATAGATTGTAAGACAAAGAACAAGTCAAAATACACAAAATAATTCATATCCCACTTGTATGTGCATCTTTCCCTTTTATTTATATGCAATTAAGTTGTGTACAGTGAATTAGATCCTTTGTTTTGTTCTACGTAAGTACTTGCTTTGATTTATTCATATTACTGATGGTACATTTCTCTGGGAGTTCCTAGTTACTAATCCCGAGTCTCAGGCATCTATTATAACTGCTAACTAACAGCACTGTCTTATCGCTGGTAGCAATAAATAAAGAAAAGGCACAGCCCAGAGAGGGCCTAACAAGTCCCTGAGGTACTTTTCACCAACAGAGCAAAATAAAAAATAACTCTCAACAGAGTTAGAAGGCAGAGAAAGGAAATAACGAAGAGGAAGGAAAATGAAAGTGAGGGAAAGGAAAAGAAGGATGAAAGAAAACCTATGAACGAAATAGGACAGTTCAAATCTACCTATTGCCATGTGTCATTTCCCCAAGTGCCCATAATTCTTCTGTTCTTCCTGAACTGTACGGGGAAAGCTAAAGGGCTAAGGGCCATCATAGGGGAAGTGTCCAGCATTCATTTCCAAATGTGCATACCTGAAGGTGAACTTGCTGCAGGTAGCTGGGTTGTCATTGACATCTTCCACAATGAACGTTATCTGGATGCGGTTTTCCTGGCCCCCGGAGGGTCTGTCCCTCACCAGAACTTCCAGAGAAATGGTGGGATTCTGTCTTAATTCACCTGCATCTCGGTCCATCCTCTGGGCTACTTGGATCGTACCAGTCACTAAGAGGGCAAAGGTTAGAACATGATCCTTTGAAGACAAATGAAGAATCAATAAAGGTATTGGAGAAAATTGGAAAAGGCCATGCCATTCTAAGACGAGGACTGGCTCCTAAGAGAATATCCTCTGTACAACTACGGTATGGTTTATATCTAGCTGCCCCTCTAAAGCCTCAGGAAACCATAGGCAGGACCATTAGGAGGTGCCTGGATGATGAGGGCTTATAGCTGACTCGCTGTTAGGAGGTGGAGTTTGGTTTTAATGGCAGGTCACTGTGGTGTGGCCTAGAAGCCTGTATGTCCCTCCCTGGCTCCTCCCTTCATGCTCTGCTTCCTGAATGCCATGAGGTGAAGTAGTTCTCCTCTGCCATACCCTTCTGCTGTGCCTTGGGGCCACTATGGACTGCACCTTCTACAAACTTGAGCCAAAATAAACATCTCCTCCTTTAAGTTGTGGGTGTTAGGTATTGTGTTTCAGTGATGAGGAAAGTGACTAAGCCAACATACATTTAAAAAATAAAACTTACATCCGTTCCTGTGCTAGGAACTTAGTGGAGTAGCTGCCCTGATCCTTCTAAAATGTTTCCCCCTAGACTCCAGAGTTGGGCCTCTGGCCACAGCTGGGCCATAGGTGAGAGAAGTGGTAGATGGCCAACCCCAGCTTGACCCACAGGGGTGTCTTGTTGCAGAATCTGTAACTAGGAGACTCTTGCCGGGAATCAGTCCTGTCAGCAGGGGAGCCACAGGTGAAAGGCTGGAACTCTAGAGGCTGAGCTCCCTGTGGCAGCACTGGGCCTGCCCCTGCTGTGTCCTGATCAGCTAATGCCTTCTTGTTTTGTTTTGTTTTTGTGGTACCAGGGATCGAACTCAGGACCTTGTGTTTTTGAGGCAGACGAAGTACCACTGAGCTCAATCCCTGGCCAACTAATGCCTTCTTATGAGCTACTCACATCCTGTTGATGCACATCCCTACCTTTTTCCTTTTCCCATGGTTGGTTTGATTTGGCCTTAGTTTCTGTTAATTGCAATCAACATCTTAATAAATATGCCCCCCAACGTGTACAGATTAAACGTTCAATTTGGCAGCACCTAAGGGACAGAATGGTCAGTCATGGTGTCCCTCCCTACACTGTTGGCAGAATGAGGCCCTCAGTGCCCGCACTCTAGGGTGTTCACAGGCGGAGCATGGCTACTGCCTTTGCCGGCCTCTCCTGGGAAAAACTATCCTTTGCCTTCTGATCAATGCGCCGGGAACACACCGTCTTCTGGGATTGTCTGCGGCCGGCAGCCACACGGTCATGGCAAGTAAAGCCCCTTGGGTTCCTGTGGTCCGGATTGATGGAGGTAGGATTGTCTGGTAGTGGCTCCGAGGCCAGGCTCTGGAATCAGCTGGCTTGGATTGGAGTCTCTGTTTTACTACTATCAGCTGTGAGACCCTCGGCACATCACCTAACCTGTCCAGGTCTCTTCCCAAGCCTCAGTTTCCTCTTCTGTCAAATGTGGATCATTGCATTCACTGGGTTGAGTACCCAGGGAGGTATGCACATGGGTCACTCTGCGTAATACCCGGTATGTACGAAGTCTCCAATAAAAGTGGCTATGACAGAAGGAGACTCTTTCTCTGAGAAAATAATCCCAGCAACCCAGCAGACTGAGCTGGAGCACTCTGTCCAATGCATCACTACTGGCGCTATTTAGCACCTAAAATGAGGCTGGTCTGCATTGAGATGTGCTTTAAGTATAAAATACACAACACACCTCCAAGGCTCAGTGCCAAATAAAATAATGTAAAATGTCTGGTTCATAATTTTAGATGTTGATTACATGTTGAAATGATAATATTTTGGATCTGTTGGTTTAAATGAAATGCCTTAAGATTAATTTTACCTTCTTGTTTTTTCAAAAATTTGACTACTAGAGACTGAAATTTCACATCTGTCCTCATTCAGTTGCTGCCCTGGAATAGATTCTGTCTTCTGAAGACTTCAGGGTACCTCAGGGTAGGAATCCATGCTCCCTCAGGTACCCACTTTCCTCAGAGGTGATAGGTTCAGGGCATGCCACCCCTTAACATGGCACCGTGGCGTTTGAGAAAGGGGCAGAAGCAGGAAGGTCTCTCTAACTGCCTCCTGACTTTCTCACCGTGGGAATTCTCTGCCTCTCCCCACGAGTGGCCCTAAGACTTCAATCCCGAGATGCCCCACCTTTCCCAGAGGAAAGGGTCATCCTAGTCCGAATCTGCAGTGCAGGCCTCGCTAAGGCCCCCCAGTTGGTTGCCAATTCAACTGGACACCTTTTGTTCTCCGACCATAATTCCTCAGCGCTTCACTTCTTCATTAACCTCAGCACAGAAATCCAATGTTCCCTGCAGCTTTGAGACTTCCTTTCTGAGAGCTCCCATGTCACATCAAACTCAGATTAAATAAATTTGCATGTGTTTTTCTCGTTCATATGTCTTCTATGGACATAGACAGAGTGTAGAGCCTCAGCCTAAACCTAATCATGGGTGAGAAAAGAAATCTCTTCACCCCTACCAAGGAGCAGGGTCACAGCTGCCAACACTTTGCTCAGCCCCCACACAGCTGCTTTTCATACATTTATCCCCTGGTCCCTAGTGATGACCCTAAACGGAAAGGTGTGCCCCAGGCCAGAGAGATGGTGAAATAGTGTGAAACAATCCAAATGGCTGAATTCGAGGATGCACTTAGAGATGGTCATGTGTGACTCACACTGATTTATCACCAAGTACTTGCTGACTGTCGTGATGGTGTACAGGAGGTGGCCGGGAAAGCTTCCATCATCATCGGGGTCCTCAGCTGTGACATTGGCCACGATGGTTCCAGCATGCAGCTCCTCCGGGATGGAGTACACTCGTGTCGGGCTGGAACACAGCAGACACAGCTAATTCGCAGGGGCACAGGAGGGAGCAGTCTGGGCGGTGCGTAGTTTGGTTAGTGCTAAATATAGCTCTGATCAGTTCGAGTTGCCTCAACACGCTCTCAGGGAGAGCCCGGCAGCTGAAAGGCGGGTGGTCAGCTTTTGTGTTTCCAAAGGTCACATCCCTGTGGCTTCAAAGAAAGTGCCGCGCTGTTACCGTGACGATTTACCCAGGCCACAGTGTGTGACTCTGTGCACGCCTGCCTGCGCCATTTCAGACTGGCCTTCACATAGCTTTTAAAATAGGCAGCCTGCCTCTCTGGCTAGCTTCTCTCTTTCTCCCAATGTTTGTGCAAAAAACCTGCCTGAATTCTTTAACAAAATCCATCTGGACATAAAGTCCGGAGCTGCAGGTTCCTATCTGCCATGTGACTCCAGAAGCTGTGCTATCAGGAGCTTAAAGCACTGCAAAGCTCCTCACTTGTAGCACAGTGCCACTTTTTCTTCCTTTCTTCTCTCTCTCTCGCCTCTGAATAGAGAATTTGCACATGGAACTTGAGCACATTTCCAGGGTGCATTGATCATGAAGTCTGCTTCTTAGAACTTGGAACTAAGTCCCCTGGCAGAAGGAGGGGTCAGAGCAGGTCCCCCAGGAGTCATTTCTCACAGGGCTCCCCAAATCATCACCTTACCCACATCCTCCAGGGCCTTTGGAAAAGGCAGAATCAGACAGGATAGAAGTTTTCACTATAGAACTGGATGAATTGAGTAGCTTTGAATGCACCAAGGAGGCTTGCTGCTCTCAATACCTCTTCAGGAAATCCTTTTGCCAAGGGAAAATCATTTTAGTGGGACAAAGAGCCAGTTACCTCTTATCTCCCAGTTTCCTAAATTGGCCTCTTCTCATAAGGGCTCTTCCTTAAGGTGGGGCACACACGACCTTGGATCTAAATAACTCCACTTGTGTCGGGACTTGGTGTTCTGAGCTGTCCAATAATCCCCACTAGGTAGATAGGACCGCAGGAAAGGGAGACAGAAGGGAACTTCTGTTCAGAGTCAGGGGCAGGCAGAGAAAGGCTCCTCCAGCCCTTGCCAAGTGCTCCAGGAGCCAGGCCCCTTGAAGGGGACTCGTCAGGCTATCAGCGACAGCATGGCTCCGCAGGTCAACAGCAGCTCTGGGCTGCCCCAGTAGTGAACCTGGCAGAAAAGAGAATCTATAGTGTACTTGGCTTTGGGATCCAAGGTCCAGGTCCAGGTATACTATCTTTCAGCATGAAGGTCTCCAAGCTAAGCTCTAGCCAAAGCAGACAGAGGAAACAAACACATTCCCACACTCACCTCCCCGTATCCCCTGTGGTGTGGAAGGGTGGAGATTCTGGGTGACAGAATGGCTCCATGCTGGTGAGTGAGCACTCAGTAGGTGCCTAAGGTGTGCATGCCATGGCCAGGCACAGGTGGAGAAGGACTGAGAGTCAGCAGAGGAGTAGGCAGGAACAGAGAAAGACCTGTCTGATTTGGCCGACATCTAAAATAAGGTGCTCTGCAAAAGCAGCAAGCACTGTGATTGGGTAAAGAGCATGTCAGGGGCTTCTGCAATGAGCTCTTGACTTTAATAATGGCAGAGTCCTAGGGTGCACATCCTGAATCCACAAAGCTCGAAGCCGTGTATCACCACCCAGGGACAAAATGGTGAGGTGGTTTCAACAACAGAGACAGCACCTGCTCCGGTTGCATTGATTGCAGGCATGTAACCATTAGGACACATGGAAGGGCTGTTTCTACATTCAGCGCTCCCACATTACCCAAACTCAGTATACCTGAGTCAGTTCGGTGATTTAGTTTTACTAATCCTGGATTTATGGTTAGCGCTAGCACTGGTTTGGGGGAAGGGGAGGAACTGAAGTCCAAGGGAACCACGCAAGCCCCCAGTTCGGCACCTAGTGTGACCCAAGAGGATGCTTTCGATTGGTGGATGAGGTCGCCCATGACTGCGCAGCCTGGGCCAAGTCAGGAGTGTCCTGCCCCAAGTCCCCTTTGGGGAGAGCAGGCTCCGCAGCCCCATCCTCACCACCATCCACGCAGCACTGTTTGAAACAGTTAGACAGTCACACAGGTCGCAGTCACACAAGTCATGCTCTCCAGGTTCATCCCTCACACCCAGGGGAGAACCAGGAGCTCCAGGCTGACTGAAGGGTACCCCAACCAGCCGAGGTCATGTTGTCTGACTGCTAAAGTCATTTGCTGCATTCTAGAAGAAAGGGTTCAAACCAGGTGATTTCCAAGTTCTGCCCCAGAAGGACTTATTTTCCGTCTGCAACCCCATGAACCTGCTCCTCCACCTCAGAGACTGGGTGCACCGGGAGGGCGTGGAAGAACCTTTGGCTCCAGCCACACAGCTATCTCCTTCTCTGGGGGTTACTGACGAGTCTGTGTCACTGGGCCAATGCCTGTGCCTGAGGCTGGGCCGGGCTGTCACATGCTCTCCATCTGCCTGGTCTCTGCTTCCGGAGCAAGCCTCCCAAAATGCCGTCTTCAGCAGGCACTGGTGCAAGGCATGATGTGCAAGTTCATTGCTGCTGTTGCACACAGTGATGCTCTGCTGCTGGGCGGTGGACAGAGTTCACACTGAAGCTTCTTGGGGTGGTGAGTTTGCAATTTGCCAGCTGGTTAGCCTGGGAGAAGGGTGGCCTTAATACCACCCAATCTTAAAATATTTTTGCAAGCACTTACCTGGCTCTGGGGTCTAATAGATTTTTCACAAATTTTTACATAGCTTTAATTTTAATTGCCAAATAATAATTGTATCCTAATGGCTTTTTGTTGATAGCACATCCCCTGCTGAATTCATTCACAGCCGTGAATGCAGTTACCCCCAGGCAGGTGACTGCTGTTTTTCCTTGGCTGCCTCTCATAGCGGGGCCTGGGGCAGGCAGAATCTCTGGAATCAGAAAGCAAGGCTGTCTGGCGGGCCCTTTGACAGCCCAGAATCTCATCCTCTCCTGAATTCCCATCTACAGCAGGCAGAGGTCCTCTCTTGGGCCAGGGATGGTGCCAGGCCTGTGTTCACAGGCTGCCAAAGGCTGGCACTGTCTGTCCTCACTGCTGCTGCAGGCAGGGGCTGCAGAGCCAGCCAGATGTCTTCTGGGAGCCAGCTTCCACCAGCTTCCAAGAGTGGGCAGGTGCCTTGGGCACCATTAAGACAGATATCTCCTCAATGCAAGGACGACACCTATGGAGTCCTGACTGAGGAAACAGGCTTCAGGACTCTGCTGAGATTAACACTGCACTTCATTGCACAGGTCCTGCCTTGTATTGATTGCCTATGCACACACAGTAGCTAGGCACACACCAGGGCATCGTGTCCACTCCCCACTATGTCCACAATCCCGTGGTGCATGTGAACGTGGGGTGCCAGAGGGTGGGAAGCAAAGTGGGGAAGTAGAAGTCCAGAGGCCCAGATTAAGGACACTGAAGACTTCCTATTGCTGTCTCTCCACTAGCCCGAGTGAAGGGCGTCCCTCTATCTCGTCATCCATGTGTCTGAAGACCTGGAAAGATGGCACCTGCAGCCCAGATTGTCCCCATGCCCTCAGCCTACCTGGTGAAGAAAGGCATCTCATCGTTGACATTCACAATGGTCACCCGGAGCTCTGTGGAGGCTTTGAGGCCTCCGCTGTCCCTCACTTCCACAACGAGGTGGAAACTGCCAGTGAAACATTGCAAGCAAGAAAATCAACTTTGATAGGAGAAAAGGAAAAAACAGAAACAAAGTCTTTGTAAACAGGGAAGGGTGGAGGGGTTGAAGGGAGGGGAGGGGAAGGGGGAAGAAATAAGAAACAAGATATGCCGTGTAAAGGTACAAATTCCTTATGTAAAGGTGCAAATTTCCAATGATGAATGTCATTATATTGTATAGGTAAAATGTACCAACGATTAGAATGAATAATCGATAATGCAAAACAGGAAGAAAAGGTCCAAAGGGGCAGGGGTAGTGGGAGGGGCAGGGGAAAGGAAAGAAGGGAAAGGAAAAATGCTGAGAAATGGAAATGAAGTCTTTGTAAATAGGGAAGGGTAGAGGGCGTGAAGGGAGGGCTAGGAATGGGGAAAAATAAGAACCAAGATGCATTATGTAAAGGTACAATTCCCAATGAGAAATGTAATTGTGTTGTAAACCTACAATGTACCAATAAAAGAATTTAATAAAAAAAAAAAGGTACAGATTCCCAATGACGAATGTCATCATATTGTATACCTAAAAGGTACCAATAAGCTTAATGAATAAAAAAAAAAAAAAAGAAAGAAAGAAAATCAACTTTGCTGTCCTGCCTCAGAGTGGGAAGCAAAAGAGCCTGTGGGACGGGGAGATAAGAGTCCCCCCTCCCAGGCACCCCTGCTTTTGCGCCTGTGTCCTCAAACCTGCTCTGCCACCCTCCTCCCTGGCCCTAACCCCCACCCATCTCTCACTGTTCTTCACGCCCCCCAGGACCAGTCTGCTTGTGCCACCCCAGTCATACCTCTGCCCCGGAAGCTCTCTGTCCCTGCCAGGTGCCCATGCCACACTCAAGAGGAAACGCACTCCCGCCTTGTAAGTAACCGCCTGGTCCTCACACCTGAGCAGCACCAGGCCTGACCCGGCTCGCCCACGGCCTACAGTGTTCATCACAAGCCCAGCCTCTCCTCAGCCCTGCGGCCCCCATGTGGCCCAACCCCTTCTCGGAGTCACCTCCCCCAAACCCTCTGGGGCTCTGGGCATCCTCGTGACCCCAGAGCGCCTCTCCCTCAGTCCTTTTTGCTGCCTGGAGAAGACGGCTTGGGACCAGAAGGATGCCTTCCCAGTGACTGCCCAGGCCCTGTCTCCCGGGTCCACTGCTACCCAGCTCACAGCGAGGCAGCAGCGTCCCCTCAACTGCAGGTGGCCTGTGGCTGCTCTCTCACGTTTTCCCAGCCCCTCAGATAAACCAAACTTCAGAGAAGGTCATAGCAAGGCTACCTCCTGTGTCCTGCTTCAAAGTCCAATTCTGTTGTGGAGAAGAGGGTGCCATTAGCAGACACGCTGAAGCTCCTTGAGGGAGAAGTCAGGAAATACTAAAAAACAAGGGAGGAAATAGAATTAAGTCAGCACACCTGGACGCCCTTCCCTAGATGTGTTGGTTTCATCCCCATTTTATATTTTTAGCACCTGGGACACTTTTAACGAGTCAGGGTAAAGTCCAAAAGGCAGGTCTCAGACTTAGTGGCTCTACTTACCACACCCCGAGAAGCTGGTCAGTGGCTCCTGCTCCAACTGCTGGGTGTCCAGCAGGCCCTGATCCCCACCACTGTATCCAAGCTTCTGCTTCCAGTCCACGCCTGCCTTTGAGTCTAGGTCCTTACTGTAACCAATGCTGAGTAAACATGCCGCTGCCCGTTAGTCAACAGGGCTGTGCCAAAGAGAGTGAGATCCTGTCTCTACCCTTAAAAAAGCTGACAAGGTAAGGGGAAAAATATGGACACAAGCATCACTGAAACCATGGAAGGGACAGGGAAGAGACAAGTATGACCCGAGAATGGGGTGCAGCAGGCATAGCTTTCAGCTTGGAACCTGGGTTGCCAATAAAGAAGAGCTGTTTTAAAGTTTTGTCCCAAGAATGTCGCCCCTGGTAAAGTGCTTCCTGGGTCTTTGGGTAGCTGAGAGTCTGTCATTCTTGGCCTCCCTTGTGCCGGGCCCAGTTCTCCTAACAGTTCCCTGCCAAGATGGCTTTGGTCTGATGGACCTGGGTCCAAGTTCTCCTCACCACAAGACTGGAGACAAGTCCCCTCTTTGCCTGTCACTTAGAAATGACACCACCAGCTGCCCCTCCGAGTTATGGGGTGATTAAGTGAGAAGGCACGCTTTGGAACAGGAAGGGAGCAGCAACAGTTGAGACTGTTTACATCCATTTGTCTCCAGTGGCGTTAAGGTTAGAAGGTTTCATTATTTCTTGCTGGGATGAGGGATAATCTGTCCTCAAGGCCTTGGAACTCAGATCAGACAATCAGAGCAGATTCCATAAGCAGAGTCACAGCCCCTAGTCTAGAATCGGAGAAATAGTGCCCAAGGTTTCCAGCCCCTGATTAGCTGTGTGATTGCAGCAGACTTCCCAGTATGCGTCCGCACAGAAAATAGATTAAAGGTCTCCTCTGGGGCCAATATAAAGTTTTAAAACCATTTCTAAAGTGTTTACTTTCTGTTTGTTATTTAATAATCTCTTTCTAGTTTTTTTTTTTTGGTACCGGGGATCAAACTCGGGTCCTTGGGCTTGCCAGGCAGGCAGCGGAACCACTGAGGTAAATCCCCGGCCCTCTTTCTAGTTTTAATAAACATATTTTTAATGGGAATGGCAAAAAGACACTTAATAGAAGTCATCTGCAAAATCTCATCATTCTGAGGAAGCGCCTTCAACTCTTTCTTATGCAAATACACAAAATGGGAAGTCGATGTTCTAATCAAAAGGGTAATGTCTTGTTCTTTGCATCTACATGTTCAGCATTTCCTCATACTGTTAAATCTTGTTTTAAAAGCAAACTATTACTACTGTCCTGTTAGACTGTAAGATTCTGGGGGGACTTGGTATAGCTCAGTGGTAGAGTGCAAGGCCCTGGGTTCAACCCCAGCGCCACAAAAGAAAAAAAAAAAAAAGAAAAATAGAAAGAAATATCTTGAGTCAAGAGGGATTTGTTTTATTCACTGCTATGTTCTCCGTAGGTAATGGGGTGTGGCACATAATAAATGCTCAATAAAATTTGTCAAGTGTTAAATATGGGGGTTTCCTTTTTCCTGATTTCCCATCTAATGCAGACCAACATTCTCACCTTAGAAAGTCTGAAAACAACAACAAAAAACCGTTGTGGCAAATATTTTCTGAAAAAGTATCTGTTTGAATGTACTAATACTAGCCTTGGCTATGAAATCCTCTCCAGTTCAGTCTACAGTCTCAATCAATTATGAAAAAAAGAAAAGATCAGAAAAGAAGCAGCAATAGATAGAAAGGGCGGAAGGAACTGCAGAACCAGGGATGTGAGAATTTTCTTCTTAATTTGTTAAGATGATTCCAGGAATCTTTTTTTTTTTTTTTTTGTATTAGCACCAGGGTAATTTCCTTTTTCCCTGAACCTTCACGCTTTGTTCATGGGAATGGCAGTTAGTAGTTAGAAAGGAGATAATATCCACAGACTAAAAATATTGTGTCATGTGGCCATTCGCCAGCGATTCAGTAAGGCTTTCTGTAAAATCTGGCGTTCTCTCCCCCTTTCTAAAGGCTTGTTTAATCAAAGCCGCTCCCTTGATATTCATTCTTGGAAAACAGAAATTAAATAAAATAAAAAGCAACTGCCGCACCTCTCTGCCCCAGTGCTGGCTAAGAAAAGTCCTAAGTAATCGGATCAATTCAGTTAACAAACGCCTGTCGACAAGCTCTCCGCTCTCATCTGCCCACTGGGAGTCCGCCTTTCCCCGCACCTGTCCCTTCTGCAGCCCCTCGAAGCTTTGGTTGCTACTGGACACGCAGCTGCCCTGGAAAGACTCAGAGTCCCCCTTTCCAGCCCCAGTCTCTCCTCAGTGTGCCTTCACTGTTAGGGAGAGGGGAAGATGAGCAGCCGCTGACCCAGTTTCCTGAAATGTCACCCCCCCACCCAGGGACTGCTGGCTCCTGCCACCTCCAGGTGCTCCCCCACTGTAGCAGGAGTCACAAGCCAGTGATTCAACCTGTGCTGGATTTGCAGCCATCAGTCACTTTCAGGCCTGCAGGGCAAATAAGCAACAAGAATTCAGCCTCCTGAGCAGGTGCATCTGTAATCTCAGTACTCTGGGAGGCTGAGGCAGGAGGATGGCAAGTTTGAGCTCAGTCTAGGCAGTTTGTCAGCGTAGTGAGACCCTGTCTCAAAATCAAAAATAAAGAAAGGCTGGGAACATAGCTCAAAGCAAAGGCTCTGAGTTCAATCCCCAGTACCAGGGCGGGGGAGGGGGCAAGAATTCAGCCTCTTTCTTGTCTCCTAGAGAACAGAGCAGCCAATTTGGCAGCCATTGAAGGCCACATTTCCTCCCTCCAGGGGGAGGGAAGAGCCCTATGCTTCCCAAGTCCAGGGAGCACCATGGACTCTATGAACACGAAGCCCAAGGCCACACCTGCCCCAGAGGACCCCACGCTCTGCATGCTCCTCTAGCGGGGCCGTGGCGAGTTATGAATCAGATGCCACATTCCTAATACATATCTTCCTTTAAGATGACTGTTTTTAAAAGTCGACTCCTCTCTCTCTTGCCTGCTAGTCTACTCCATCCCAGCTCAGAGGTGCCAGGTGGGGGAAGGAGGGAAGGAAGGCTTGGAAGAAGAAAAACTACCGCTAAGAACTACCCACCAAAGGCCACTTTTACCCCAGCCCTTACCCTGGCTCCTGCCAGGGCTGCAGATGAGCTCAGCTTGAAGGTTTTCAAGGAGAGGAACTAGGCAGACCAATGCAAAATATCAGTATTATCATATATATCTCACAGCTATAGGAATGAAGTGATATCTAACGTGGTCCCATGGCCACGCATCCCGTCAGCCTTTGCTGTGAGCACCCCAGCCCTGTGCTGCGTGATCCAGGCTGTGCTGACTCCGGAGACCCTGGGCCCCATCTGTGTGCTCCAAGTACACATGGCCAGCAGCAGCCACAAGTGTCCAAGCCCACCGCCTTTCCCTTTTATGAGCGCGCATTCTACTGAGCCTGGAGTAAAGTGCCTGTCACTAAGACTGCTGGGTGTGACTCTGGAGGAGGAACATCGGTGGCAGAGATGCCAGGGTGGAAGAGATGAGCAGCAGTGTGGGACCCAGGAAAGCCTCGCTTCCCTCTCTCATCTGGAAACAAGGGGCTGCTTAACAGATCTGAACAGTGGGATCCAGCTGGGACCTGACAGGCAACCAAGGGGTGACTGAAAAATTATTGTTCGTCACTTTGAACACACATCCCATCATTCTTGCCACTTTCTGAAACGGTTCAGGAAGTTCCCTTTTGTGAGCGTCTTTACAAGGTATGATCAAAGATGTGGTGGACGCTGCTGCCAAGCGCCATCGAACAGAAAAGCAGGCTTATAGAAACATTACTGTGTCCTCATCCACCATCTTCACCGGATCTGGCACCGTGTGACTTCTGGCTCTTCTTCAAATTCAAAATGACTATGAAGGGTGAATATTTTGAAACAGTTCAGGATGACAGCACAGTCAAAAAAAAAACTCACAAAAAAATGAATTGCAGAACTTCTTCAGAAAGTGGCTAGAACGATGGGATAGGTGTGTTCCAAGCAAAGGGAGTATTTTGGGGGAGATTAATGGCAGTGTGTCTTTGACAGTAATAATTTTTTAAATTTAAATCCTCACTGTTTTTCAATCCCACCTCCTAGGTCAATCACATTACTTTTGGGAAGACCTAAAGGCGTGACCGTGACCGGCTGCCGGGTCTCAGAGCCAAGGTGCGAGTGGAGAGAGTGGACAGAGGTCTGCTCTGTTGCCCTACCAGTGGCCTGGCAGCAGCAAGGTCACTGCTCTTTTAATTTAGTCCTTTTGTCCAGGGAAGGAAGCACACACTTCATTTCATGCAAACGAGCCCCTTATAGGAGCACTGCTGCAGGCACCACTTTGCCTCCAGCTGAGAAACCGGTTAGGGTAGCTGGGGAGGGAGCCTCCTCAGACAAAGGGGCTGGGCTGGGGGCACTGAGAGGTACTGCCAGGAAGTGCAACTGGTCACGGGCAGATCACCCTTCCCCGCTGTAATGTCCAGCCCTTCTTGTCACCACCCTCTAGCCCGGCTCTACCTGCATCCTCGGATGCACAGATGCTGCCTAGGGAGGAGGACAAATGCTGCATCGAAGCCTGGGCCCCCAGTACCAGCCCCCAGCCTCATGTCCTATGGCTCCTGAGCATTTCAACCATGGAGGCCTGAAAGTGTAAGTGTAAAATGTGCCCCATATTTTAAGATGGTATACTTAAAAAAGAAGCTGGAATCTCTCACTAATCATTTTTATCTTACGATGTGTTAGAATGATAATTTGTTGGGTATGTCGAGTTAACTCTACAAAGATTGACTTCACATACTTTTTTTTTTGGTACCGGAGATCGAATTCGGGACCTTGCACTTGTGAGGCAGGCTGCGGAACCACTGAGCTAAATCCTCGGCCCAACTTCACATACTTTTAAAGTGACTGCTAGAACATTTAACACTACCTCTGCGGCACTGGTTTCCGGCTCACACTGCAATTTTATTGGGCGGTGCTGATTCAAGATGAAACATTGTGGGTCCAAAGCATGGATAAGAACATGCTTTTTTTTGAGACAGAGTCTCACTTAGTAGATCAGGCTGGCCTTGAACTCACTGTGGAGCCCCAGGCTGGCTTTGCACTCGAGGCAATCCTCTTGCCTCAACCTCCTGAGTGCTGGGATCATAGGCATGCGCATGCCACCACACCTGGCTCAGCACATGCTTTTAAATTTCTTTTAAAAGAAGAGAAAAAAATACTAGTGGTTTCTGAATATACCCCTATTTATGTCATCTGTGACACCATTTTACTTCATGGAACTGGGTAAGGGTTGTAATGTTTGTCATTTAAAGGTGTTGGGAGTTCAGGATGGGTCCTAGAGCTCTTGTTTTGTTTTCCTGTCCTGGAGCCTGAACATAAGGCCTCACACTGAGCCTGTTTTATTTTACAATTCTTTTTTTTTTTTTCGGTACCGGGGCTCGAACTTGGGAACTTGTGCTTGCAAGGCAGGCGCTGGAACCACTGAGCTAAATCCCCGGCCCCTTTATTTTACAATTTTAACACAGGGTCTTGCTAAATTGCCCAGGCTGGCTTCAAAGCTGCAATCCTCCTACCTCAGCTTCAATTTAAAAAATTCATCCTTCATCCTCTATTTGCTACAGTAAGGTAACTCAGGAGACCACCAGGTAAGATGACAGGTGCAGACCCAGCCTTGTGCCCTCGGCATGAGCTCAGTGCTTTTTGAGTCTGCTCTTCCTTTGTCCCAGGTTTCTGAGGTGTGGCATGGGCAGAGCCACCAGAAGCACACACTCTCACTGAGCGCTATCTCCAGTGGGCCAGACCTGCACTTGTGAAGTGGCCTGGGTTTGTTCCTGGCCTTGGACACACACTCGGAGACTCCAGACACCTTCCCAGCCTGCTCACCACAACCCTTCAGATTCCCAGCCTCAGCCCAGACCCACAGAATCCATACTCCAAGGCAGGCTTTGGGGAATCTGTGAGAGAGTGTCTTACAGCAGCGCTTCTGGGTCCTGGCTAGCGGTGGGTCTGGGAGCGTCATGCTCCTGAGGCCCGCCCACACCCAGGCCAGTCACACCAGGGGAGACACCTGTGTGTCCTTAAAGCTCCCTGGAGAGGTACACTTACAGCAAGGTCGGGAAGCACAGCTTTGCTCAACAGTGAATTAACCCATCTCCTTTCTACTCTTACAGAGCGAACCATGTCATTTAGTGCCCCCAGGTTCCCAGAATAAAACATCTAAGGACAAAGGCCATCATGTGTTATGTCCTGAGCTGTTATTACTTTCTCTAGGCTGAGAGAGGAGCCTTCCCCCCTGCACTGGCTGCTCCCGCAGGCTGGCTGTGGCCCAGCACAGGTGTCTGTTGCTCTGTTCCGCTTTCTGTTGCAACTCCACGCCCCTCCCCACGTGGGACCCCTAACCGACAGACTGCAAAAGCCTCCGCCCCAGCCACCTCCAGGCCCCAGAGCTGTGCTCAGCCCCTGTGGATGGTGCTGGGGTTTTTATGTTTGTTTTGTGTTTTGTGTTTTGTTTTTGTTTTTTTGGTGCTGTGGTTTTAAAGGGAGCAACTCCCACTGGATTCCTCCCCCTCCTCTTCGAGGGGAACAGGCGGCCCGTGAGGTGTTCCTAAAGGGGCCGGAGCCTTATGCGCCTCCATGATTTGGAGATATATTAAAATGCGGAGAGTTAAAATAAATTTTTGTCTTCACAATCAAGATTCCTTCTATTTGGCCCCCATTGCATGTGGTAAGCCGCTTCTCAGCAATTACTGTATCACGCTGAGCCACACTTAAAAGTTCGTGGTGATCATGAAAGGAACTAAATCAATAATGCAATACTATGCTGACCCGACATCCACCCAGAATCTTTTCCTCTGTCACCACCAACCAGTGGTGGCCCAGGACACAGTTCTGGCCAGTGAGAAGTAGCAGAACTCCTCTGGGTAGCGCTTCAAGGAGGCTTTGTTTTCCTGCTAGAAAAGAAGGAGGAGCAGACTAGGCTGCTCCACTCCCCTTCACCCTGTACCCTTCCTGGTTTCTTCTTTGCTTTTCCTGCATGGAATTCAGAGGCAAGGCCCAGAGATGCAGCAGCCATCTTGCAATCATGAGGTGAGAAAGCAGGTGCGCATGCTCTAGATGGAGGAGCAGTAACAGAGTCAAGCTCCTGATGACAGCAGCTGTACCACCCCAGATCCCCTACCTGCCTCCAGATTTCTGGTATGGAAGAGAAAAAAAAATCCTGTAACTACCGATGCAATTAGGCCTTCTCTTATATGCAAACAAACATCCCTGCAACATAACCAGGATGTTATTAGTGAGGAGCCATGCACGGCACTTCTGCTGCAGAGTGGGAACCATTAGGTATCTGCATGTGCATTTGCAAAGGTTGACCTAAACATATAAATGAATGTGTAAAACCAGATTATCCCCTAACTTTAAAACGTGTCCAGTAGTCTGATAACAGCTCTGTCTCAGACCCTGTGGACACCCTGTGTCCTGGAGCACATTCGCAGGCTGCCCCCCTCCATTAGCAAGTGGCCCTGTTGAGGCGCAGGTCACAAAGCAAGGGGCAGAAGCAGCCTCCTGTGTCTTGCAGTTTGTCCTTGTCAGGCCCCGCAGGCAGGAGTGCTGGCTGCTCTGAGGTGAGCCCGGTTGAATTCTCTTGTTTTCCCTCCCCAGCCTGGGCTGCAGTGTGGGCACAGGGCACCCCATCGCCAGAGATTGTGCCTGAGGTTCTGGCTCACCAGCGCCCCCTGATAGCCCCATAAAGGACACTGACTCATAAAGGAGGGAAGAGACATTCACTCTCAGACTGCACCAGGCCCAGTCTCCTGTTCAACACCCAAGAAGTCCTGGGACTCTTAAAATACATTTTTAACAACCTGGGTCTGAGCAGCTTGGCCTCATCTCTTGAAGAATATACCTGAGTGCCTGGCTTTGGGTGTATATTTTCTGCTTACTTTAAAAATGGTGGGAGCCGGGTGTTGTGACACACAGCAGTAACTCCAGCACTTGGGAGGCTGAGGCAGGAGGATTGCTGCAAATTCGAGGCCAGCCTGGGCTACATCATAAGTTCAAGGCCAGCCTGAACTACATAGCGAGACCCTGTCTCAAAAATCCAAAGTACTGGGCTGGGGATTTAGCTCAGTGGCACTGTGCCTGCCTCGCAAGCACAAGGTCCTGAGTTCAATCCCCAGTACCAAACAAAAAAGATCCAAAATAGCAATAAAATAATAGGTGAATTCATATTGGCTTAGATTTTACAAATATTGAGTGCTTGCTATCCACCTGGCACTGTCTATGTCATCTGAGGCACATACCCACCCTCAGGTCAAGTTGGTGCTCTTGTTCTTCCATGAAGAACCGGGGCTCCAGAGGTCCAGAACTTGTCTGAGGTCACCCGGAGCCCAGAGTGCAGGCTGTGTTCGCCTCCAGCTGCCTGCAGGTTCCCAGCATCCCTAGCTCTGGCTTTGCCAGCAGGCAGCACAGCCCCCACTACACCTGCCAAGACTGCCCCTCCAGCTTGGGACCCGACACTTACACTGAGGGGAGCTCGGCGTCTCGTGTCCTCTGGATCGAAGGCCTCCACCTGGTAAATGAATCCGGGGTTCGCTCTTTCTGCTATGAAGAGGTCTAAACCTGTACCTCGTCCAAAATAGAAAGAGAAGCACTGTATTAGGTGAAGCAAACTTGGAACTCCAACATCGGAGCTACTGTGTAAACCAAAGGGAACCAGGCGGCACGGGACGGAGGGAAGCCATGGTCAAGGCCATGAGGAACAGCACCAGCCCGTGCATGAGTGGATCCATTTGTGGGAATTAATAAAACACTCTGGGGCCGGGGATTTAGCTTAGTGGCGCTGCGCCTGCCTGGCAAGCTCAAAGTTCTGAGTTTGATCCCTGGTACCAGGAAAAGAAAAAAAGAAAAAATAATAAAATGCTATGGAACCAACTCTTCATTTACTTCCGCCTTGGTGAGGTGACTGATGCTTAGGGGAAAGGAGAGAAGCTATGAAGCCAGGCACGCTGGCACACACCTGCAATTCCAGTACCCTGGGAGGCTGAGGCAGGAGAATCGCCAGTTTCCCAAGCTCAGCCCGGAAACAGTGACTTAGCAAGACCTTGTGTCAAAATGTTAAAAAGGGGGGGCAGGGGATGTAGCTCAGTGTGAAGGCCCTGGGTTCAATCCCCAGTACAGAGAGCGAGAGAGAGACAGAGACAGAGAGAGACCCGAGAAGAGTCAGAAGAGGGGATGTCACTACTGCTGCAATTTTAGCTAGAACAGCGATGGCACCCCACTGGGTAACCACATCAGAGTCAGGATGCCCGGAGAAACTGAGGAGAGCCCTGGTGATGCAGAGGAGAGGGAAGAGGGGAGGACAGGGAGAAGCAGAGGAAGCAGCAAAGCCACTGGTGCTGAGGGCGCACACCAGCCCCCCATCACTAGGAGGCCCGGTGGAGGGCAGGCAGAGGGACGAGGGGGCCAGGGGTGTGGCCAGATTGGAAGGGCCTGCGCCTGGCTCTCCTGGCTTTGGATTGTGATGGGGATTCTCACAGGGTTTAAGCAGGGAGACGCCCAGTCCAACCCATGCTCTCCCAGGACCTCCTGGCTGCTATCTGCACCACAGACTCCATGAGGAAAGGCCACAGCCAGGGGCCCCGGCATTGTCCCAGACAGATAGGCTGTCCAGGTGGCTTGCATGGGGGGGACTATGGGTGCCAGGGCCAGACAGGATTCCGGCTGTGTGTAGAAGCTGGCAAGCATTCCTGGTGGATTCAATGTTACCGGGGAGGGGGAGAGAGAGAGGAGTCCAGGGTGACACACAGTGCTGCCCCAAGCCCCGGAAGGATGGCAAAGACCTGACTAGAGTGGGGACTAGAGGGAACTAGGGTGGGTGGAGGTGCAGTGGGAGCCGCTGACACCCAGGGGGACAGAGCTTAAACAGGACATCTGAGTGGAGAAGCTGTCTCGGGGTTGGCAGCATGGAGGGGCGGGGATGCGCAAAGCCAGGACCTCCTGCATGAGGTCCCCTAGGCGCCAGAGGCTTCTGCTGTCCCTACTCTGTCCACTGGGAGAAAGAGTGAGGCCGTCAATGGCTGAGGACACCAGGACAGAGCCCTGAGCCTCAGTTTCCTCACTAGGCCTGGGAGGGGATAGGAGAGGCTGAGGATGTGGTGGCCATGTACACCCTGGACATCGTTATCAGGCGTGCTGAGCTGGAGGACATTTCATTTATTCCTGCTCATTAAGCAGCTGCCTTTTCCAAGGAAACAGCTGCACATGTGTTTGCTTTTCCTGTTTTTCTCTTGCCCCCAGGTCCTCCCTGATGCCACCATCTGCGCTGCTTTGCACAGCCTGGTGCATCTTACCATCCGCCAAGTTGCCTTGAAACTCGGGTGGCTCGTTCACGTCTGTCACCTGAACAGTCAGGACCTGCAGGTCGGTCACCCCGACCTCATCCTTAACATAAATCTGCAAATCAAATACGTTTGGTCCTGTTTCAAAATCCAGTTGTTGCTTCCCAAAGGTGACAACCTAAAATGAAATGCAAAATTCTTGGTGACCAGGTGAGAGAAGGTGTGTTTTGTAGGCTCACATCATGCAGGAGGGAGTAATCTGAGGAAGGAAGCAGCTGGCTTCCAGGAGACCACTTTTCACTCGCTGGCAGAGGGCCCTGCTGTTTTGTCTTAGTGCTTCCCTCAGCAGCCCCATGACACTTCCCAAAAGGGGCCCCTGTGTACACTGCTGCTTTCCATGGAAAGAAAAATATTCAGAAGACATCCAGTGCGAATGACAGAGATGGAAGCCTGGGGACTAACGACCCTGCTGTGGTTTGGAGGCAGCCCCTCCACAATACCTCAGCTCCCCCAAATCCAGCTGAGTTTTCCTGCCATTAAAGGATGTGCACTTCCTCGGATTATTGCTACTAATTATAGCTGGACTCATCCCTCTAATTTTCCTAAGGTTCCACCCAAGAATAAATAAGAGAGAAGGACACAGATGCATAAACAAGAAACAGTTGAACAATGGAGTGTTCATGTTTTGTGTGCCTTCCACACATTCTTCTGTTGTCATAAACTTTGGTCCCTGCTTTTTGTATTTTTGGGAGGTGGGAAGAACAACAAGGGCCAGGGCCAGCGAGACAGCACCAGAATCCACGCTGCTGTGAAAGGGTCCCCTGGGGACTGTGTGGAAGAGTCCTGGGGGGGGGCATGGGAGTGGAGGGGAGGGGAGCCAGCCCAAGACCTCTCACATCTATGGCTGCCTCTGGCCGTCAGCTAATCGCTGGGAACTCCGTGGTGGCTCAGAGCCCTCAGGGACATTGCTCTGGTTTGAAAAGCACCCATGTTCATAGGAGCACAGTTTGTAATAGGTAAAACTTGGAAGCAGCCCAATTGCCCATCAACTGGAGAGTGGATAAAGAAAATGTGGTTTTTTAATAAAATGGAGTACTACTCAGCCATCAAAAATGAGAAATTAGAGACATTTATAGCTAAATGGATGCACATTGAGGTGATACTCTTAAGTGAAATAAATAGGACACACGTGTAAATATCAAATAGTTTCTCTAGGGTGAGGAACTGAAAGTGTAACTAAGGACTAAAAGGTATAATGGATAATGTGAAATAGGAAGAAAAGAGGCAAAGGGGGAGGGAAAGTGGGAGGGGGAGGGGAAAGGAAAGAAGGGAATGGAATTAATATGAGAAAAGGAAAAAATGGAAACAAAGTCTTTGTAAATAGGGAGGGATGGAGGGGTTGAAAGGAGGGCAGGGCAAGGGGAAAAAATAAGAACCAAGAGAGACTATGTAAAGGTGCAAATTTCCAAAGGTGAATGTAACTGTATTGTATACCTAAAATCCACCAATAAAACTAACTTTAAAAAAACCAGAAAACGAAAGTCTCAAAAACTCAGCTTGAAGTTTACTTGCCGCTGTGTTACTGGGAGATGGGATGCGGTGGGGGACGGGCCTTCAGGGCTCCCTGCCCTGAGTAGACGAGGGTCCTTATTGTGAGAATGGCTTCCCACCATTCTTGTTCCCAGCCTCCAGCACTCTCTCACCGCATCTTAGGCCCCTGATGACAACACCTTGACGTGGGGTTTCCCAGCCTCTACGGGGATGAGAAGTGAATTCGCTCTTCACAAATCACTCAGTGCGAGGTACTGTGTGGTAGCAGCGAGCCCCAAACTAAGACAACTCAAGGAGTAAATTTCTTATGTGCTTTTGGTCTCGAACCAGCTTGGAGCGGGTAACAAGACCCTCTGCAGCCTGAGGGAGCAAGCACTCCGCTCCAGCCGTCTCCACCACGGGACCTCTGAGTGGCCTGGAGAAAGTCCCTTCACCATCCTCTGACTGCTTCCACGAGATTATAATTAGGAAACTGAGTCCTGCTGTGGTTAAACAGCTGAACCTTGGACAAGGTTTCATGACAAAGAGCCGCGGCTGGGGCTGCGAGAGGCGGCAGAAAGGATCCCTCGAGGCGTGCGCAGTGAGAGAAAGCTGCGTGGGAGGAAGTGGCAGGCACCGCATCTTACTCTGCAAGGCCTGGACCGGTTAAAGAAAAGGAAGCAGCCACAGCTGTGAGGCAGAGCACGCAGGGGAGGGACAGTGGGAAAGGAGGCCTGAGAGAGAAAAGAGGTGGTCGTTCTGGTGCCCCCAGGGGGCTCAGACCCCTGTCAGCCCGGTAGCCGCTTACTCAGGAGCACAGACGCTGGAGCCAGACCGACTGACTTCAAAGCTCAGCCTTCCCGTGACGCAAATGTTCTGTGCCTCGATTTCCCATTTGTAAAACGGTGATAAAAATAACACCTACTTACTTTATTGGCTGTTTTTGAGAAATGAATGAGCTGATCTACATGAATCTATGGTCTGGCACTGAGCAAGCGCTTTGCAAATGCTGACTTTCATCATAATTAGGGACCAAAAATTGTTCACAGAATACCTGTCCCCAGCGCAGGCCCCTGGGGAGATGGTTCACTCTGGACCCGCTTCTACCCTGGCTCCCTGCTAATCTCGGAGCCGCTTCTGCACCCCAAGCTCGGATAGGTCCTTTCCCTAGATGTTATCTATCACCAGCCCCTTCTCCTTGGGAACCAGCTCCACCCCCGCCCACCAAGGCTGGCAAACCCCTCCCACCCATTTCACCTAGAAAGAGACTCTGGAGAGAAGGGAAGGGGTGCCTCGATTTGGGTTCAGACAGTAAGCTTGGCTTTCGGGCTGTTGAGCTTGGAGTCATCCTGGGCTGGGCTGAGCAACGTTTTAGGTCCACAGTGCTCAGGATAATAAATAGGAAGAAGAGGGGAGTGAGTCAGGCTCCAAGGCGGGGAGAGGCAAGGGACAGGCGCTGGCCTTCACAGGACCTTGGAGAGCTCCTGCCTTCGAAGCTGCCGGGCTTGGCCGCAGTCACCCTCCCTGGCTTCTCGGAGCTATCCTTCGTGGTGCTGCTCCAGAATTGGCCTCCTGCAGCTCAGTGACGTCTTGGCCAGCACAGCGTGGGACCAAGGACCCCTGGGGTCAGATTTCCTGGGCGAGAATCTCAGCTTTGTCACTTTCCACGCCTGTGAACTTGAGCACATTCTCAACCTCTCTATACCCTGATTTCCCCAGTTGCACCATGGAAATAAAACAGCAAGCTGCTCCATAGCATTGTTGTGAAGATTAAATGAATGAAGCCACAAAACATTTACGGTGATTCCTGGCATATGGCGAATGCTCTGTAAGTGTGTTTCTATCCTCCTCCTCATTAATCCTTCTCGCCTCCCCTCCCCAGCAGTCTCAGCAGTGTGTCCTGAAGTGGGGAGGCCTGGCTCCAGCACGATTCAGAGCTCCCTGAGTCTCAAAGCCAGAGGACCAAGACTGCTGAGGAAGAGCCAGGTTCTGCCCCACAATGGCATTGCCATGTTCCAAGGGCAGCAGGCGGGGCTCTTGTGGGAAGTGTGAGTGAGTAGGGTTTTTTGTTGTGGTTTTTTTGGTTTTTTTGAAGGGATGGCTGATGACGTGGGGAGAGGCCACTGATTCTTAACAAGCGTCAGGACTTGTTAGCCTGTGGCCATTCTCTTGCCTATGCCCAGTCCTGGGCAGCTGCAAGCCATGGTGCCAGGAGGGCACAGGACTGGGAAAATATACCAGATGCTGGAGCCTAGTTTCATTGAGGGGCTAAGAAATTTGCCATTTCAAGAGGTTAGGAACAGGGTTAGGATTAGGGTTAAGGTTGGGGTTAGGGTTGGGGTCAGGGTTGGGATTAGGGTTAGGATTAGGGTTAGGGTTAGGGTTAGTGTTGCCCCAATGTCCTGTCAAACTTTTACCTTCCACTGTCCATTTTGACTTTGGAAAGAGTCAGGAATTGCATGATACCAGACCCAGTGAAAAGGTGGATGAGGGCACTCTAATATTTTTACAAGCCCACCTTTCCATTGTATGGCACTTGACGGTGGCTTTCACTATATTTTTGATCACATTGCATAAAGACACTCACAAAAGAGGACTCCAGAACTGCTTCCAAAAGTGGAAAGAACAATGGAATAAGTGTTTTTGAAGTGAAGGATGAGTATTTTGAGGGTAATTAATGCCAGTGTGTCTTTTGCTGTGGTAAAATGTAAAAACTTAATATTCACCGTATATTTGGATTACAAGTGGAGAGAACAGGTCCTGTGAAGGAGTTGGGAATTCACCAAAACACCAATTCATCTGCATGGAAATGTAGGAGAAAGGGCCCAGTGTGGGAACCAGAAGACCTGGGTTTAGCTCTTATTTCACCATTTATGGCTATGTGTCCTGTTATCTCTAGGTTATCATATACCTAAGGTAAGAATTAAAAAATTTTAAATGTTGTTATATCTATGTTCACTATAAGTCAAGAGGTCAAGAATGTGAATGTGCTTTGGACCTTTCATGCAAATGTAAAGGAGCAGAATTATCATCATCATTTAAAGCAGGAGCCCACAGGACCCAAGACTGAGAGCTTTCAATTGAAAACAGCCCACAGGTCTGTCAGGTGATGAATGGATACACGAAACATGGCCTAAACTTATATAACGGACTATCACTTAGCCATTACAGAGGAGAAAAGTACTGACACCTGCTAAAATGTGGCTGCTTCTTGGAGCTTTACACCAAGAGAAAGAAGCCGGCCATGAAAGACCTCATACTTTATGATTCCATAAGAGTTCAGAATAGGCAAATCCATAAAAACAGAAGGTAGATTAATGGTCACCAGGGACTCCAAGGATAGGAGAATAAGGAGTGCCTGCTAAGAGAACATTATTTCATGTTGGGGTAGTGAAAATCTATTAAATTGCAGTGATCAGGGCAGGGATTTAGCTCGGTGGTGCTGCCACCTGCCTTGAAAGCACAAGGTCCCAAGTTCGATCCCTGGTACCAAAAAAAAAAAATCTGAAATAAATTGCAGTGATAGTTTGAGAGTTGCACTACTCTAAGACTACTGAAATCCCCCACTGAATTCTATAATTTAAATGAGTAGATAATATGCTGTGTAAATTATATCTCAATAAAGCTGCTTAAAATAATAAGAGTTCTGGATCCTGAATGCCTGATTTCCAGTCTCACCTCAGCCACCCCCAACTATGCAACCGAGGACAAATTACTTCAACTCTGTGTTTTGCTGTCCTGACCTGCAAAAAGGGGTACTATTACAAATCCAGTCATTAGAATATCTTGAGGACTACAAGAGCAGACACATGTAAGCCTCTTCCCACAGTGTCTGGCATGTACACAGTGCCACTCTGTAAGAGCAAGCAACTGCCAAGGCCAGTAGAAAACGACAGCAGCAGCTGCTGAGACAAGCTAGGTCAAAGGAGTCAGCAGACAGGGCCTCTGAGTCACAGGCCCAGCATCTGGGGCCTGGGAATGTCAACTGGATGCTGAAGTGAAGACTGAGGGACTGTGAGTCCTTGCCTCTCAGAGGGCCCAGCCCAGGAGTGACCAGAACCCATACAGGAAGGCACTGCCCTCTCATCAGAGGTTCTGCCAGGGGCCCGGGTCTGCACACTTCTGAGCAGCTCCCCAAGTGACTCTAACCAGGAGCTGGGTTCAAGAACATCTAGTGTATACCCCAAAGGAGCAGTCAGGTCCCTCAGGACCCCAGGGACCAATGGCCAGGCTGAAGAGGCCTAGAAAGAGGTTGCTAGGAAGGTTGAGGAAAGAGAAAGGAAGGGGTGGGGACACCAAAGCATAAGCAGTTCCAGACACCTGGACCCTAAAGACATCTTTGGAAGACCACTGAGATTACCTGTGAAAAATACTCAACGAGTAGGTTGGTTCCCCCAACAGGAAAGTGACAGCTTTGGGAAAGACAGACACAGAGGACAAAATAGAAATCATGGGTCTGGAATGTGAGTTATTGGGACTAAATTATCCAAGGGGAAACATTCACACAGTAGAGATGGACATTTAGTATATTTTATTAAAGGGTATATGTTTATATATTAAGTAAGCCTAAACCTAGATTTCCTTCTAAAAACAATTATAGCCTCATAGAATTGCAGAATCAGTAGACACAGTTCATCAGGACCTGGCTTTTAAGGAGATCAATACCCACACTCTCCCACCCAAAGAATTTGATTAGCATAAACACACCTAACACTTGATATCAGGTCTGGGCTATTAGCAATAAGAAACAGGCCTTCCATCTGTAACAAACTGAGCATAATGCTCACAGGGACTGTATTAAGTAGAGAGAGGCCTGAATTTTAGACTATAATGTCATATAGTTTGTCATAAAAGAAAAACCCAAATATAAATAAAGAGCAAAATAAAACATAGACAATAGGAAGTAGGGTGTTATGGTTTATATCTAATTGCCCCCGCCCCTCAGGAGCTCATAGGTGGAGCTGTGGGGAGGGGACTGGATCATACAGCAGTGGATCAGTCCATGATGAGATTATAGCTGAATGTGATGTTGGGAGTTGGAGCCTGGTGGGAGGAGGCTGGATACTGGGGGCGTGGCCTGAAAGGGTCTATCTCCCTCCTCCCCCCTTGATCCTTCCCTACTTCCAGCCACCATGCCATGAGCTGTTTTTCCTCTGCCATGCCTCTCTGCCATTCCACCTGCCTTGGAGTCAGCCAACTATGGACTGAGACGTCTAAAATCTGTGAGCCAAAATAAACCATTCTTCCTTCAGTTTGCAGGTGTTGGATATTGTGTCTCAGAGATGAGGAAAGTAAGACATACGGAGATCTTTTTCAAATGGGAAAGGGAACAAGAAATGGGAGAAGCAGGGAGGAATGGGAGGGGTAGGGGACAAAGCAAATTAAGATGTGTTATGTGCATGTACCAACTCCTCATGATAAATGTAATCATTATGTATTACAAACATGTACTAATACAAAATATAAAAAATAAAGTCTACAGGAGAATCTAGCACCGGGGGCTCTGGCTGGGATGCCCCAACCAGGATTTCTGGATCCTATGAGAGGGGAGATTGAACTGGGGAAAGAGGAGGACAGGATCACTGACCCAGAACCCCAGGCACGGATCTGCAGGACACCCCTTTGTAAATATCTCCCACAAGGGGCTGCTTACCTCAAAGTTAGTGCCTGACAGCCTGTTCACCCTGAAGGCTTCAATGAGGGGACTTGAGTTGATTATCAGGGGAAATCCTGGGACCACAGGTGACAAGGACACCGATAAATTCACAGAAAACTTGTGCACCAAAGTCCCAGGGGGAGAATTCTCTGCCACGTTGCTGGCAGCAGGTAAGTGGATGAGATGCAGAGCCTCTCCTGTGGATTTAAAAGGGATGCAAAATGACGTGAACACAAGACTCAACATAACAGCTTGGGCTGTGGTTTTAATTCATAGCAACGAGGAGACCTGCTCGCTCCCCAAGAACGAATGCTCTTGCCAAGTGCTGGAAACGGACGTGTGAGATCTCCTGGGAGCTAGGGAAACAGCCCCACCAAACAACCATGAAATCTGTTCCTATCACTGAGCAAACAAAGCTGCCTCTTTTCTTCCATCTCCCTGCTTCCCTTCTCCTTCCTCCCAGCCTTTGTGGAGAGCCAGGGAAAGAGAAGTGCAAAGCCTTCTCACTGTGCCCCTTTGGAGGCCCTGGTCTGGTTATGACATCCTCTCTCCTGCAGCAGCCCGGGTGTTTCTAAGAGTGTATTTTCCTTCTCTACAGCAGTGTTGATTCATGAGGTCAGCTGAGAATTGAGAGTGATGAGGGGAGGGCTCCAAAATCATGGGGGATCTCTGCATCCATTAGCAATCCCAAGGATGATTCGTTGTCATGGTAGGAGGCTGTGTTGTGGAGTAATGTGGAGATACAGGGCCAATCGGTGCTTCTTGGGTGACTGCTTAACTCCCGCTTCAGCGGGGAAAATGAGAGACAGAGAGGACACATGGATTGCCTTAGACGGCATTACACACGGAGAAGGAAAATTGAAGAGAAAGTATGCTTCTTCCAGAAAAGCCTTGGGACCATTCTGAGGTCCCCCGATACTCTGCAAGCCTTGGCCAGGACAGAGGACAGCAGCGGGAGGCCACCCTCTCTCCCGCTTTCACAATGCTGCGGGTGGAATAGTGTCCTCCAAAGATCCATGTCCACCCAGAACCTCAGAATGCAACCTGCTAGGAAACAGTCTTCCAAGGGGTAATTGGTCAACTGAGAGGATTCAAATGGGCCCTAAGTCTGGAGACCGGTGTCCCTATGAGAAGGCAGGACACAGAGACCTGTGTAGCCGGAAGGCCGGGAAAGAGCAGAGGCAGAATCTGGAATGATGGTGTCACAAGCCAAGCAAAAACAGTTTCCACCAGCAGCTCCAAGGCAGATCCCAACACATCTCCCCCAGAACTTCGGGAAGGAATAAGTCTTGCCAACGCCTTGATTTTAGACTTCTGGTCTCCTGAACTGAGTGAGAGAATAAATTAATGATGTTGCTTTAAGACCCCCAGTTTGTGCTGGAGATTTAGCTCAGTGGTTTCGCAGCCTGCTGCACAACCGCAAGGACCCAAGTTCGATCCCCAGTACCAAAAAAAAAAAAAGACACCCAGTTTGCGGAGATTGTTACAGCAGCCCTAGGAAATGTACACAGTCACTATGCTTCCAAAGTTCCACATAAGTGTGCAATGCAAATCCTTTATTTCATTTGTGCCTCAAAACACTCCACCCCACAGGTATTATTACCAGCATTTTATAGACAAGGAGACGGAGGTGAAAGACACAGAGCAAACAATAACAAAACCAAGATTTACACCGAGGTACTACAGTCAGCTTCCCAGTCTTGGCCTCCATCACTAAGTGGGGACAAAAATCCTGGAATAGTTGGAGGCACAGGAGGAGAGTAGAAGGATCTGTCCTACCAAAAGGCATAAATTTTCTAGAAACACGCCACAGGAAAATGTTGAGTTTTGTAAGAGGGTTTTTAAAAATTGGGGCAGCCACAGAAGAATAAATGGAAATGTGGGGAAAATGGATATACAAGCACATCTGTTGATACAAGCTTTCAGTTTACAGACTAAAATCCACAATGCTTATTCTATTTTTTGCTCACAGAATTATTGAGTTTTATGGACAGGACTGTATAAGGACTCAGGTGATGTGAAGATGAATGGATTTTTTTTTTTTTTGGTACCAGGGATTGAACTAGGGTCCTTGTGCTTGTGAGGCAGGTGATGAATTTTTTAATCTATTAAAATTGACTTTAATAGCATAGCATTTTTTTGCACTAAAAGCCAGAAGTGAACTTGTACACTTGGAGTATTTAGAGCCAAAATGCTTCCAAAAAAGTTTTTTGAGTAAAGTAACTGATTGCCTTGGTTGGTCGAATGCTTTAGACTTAATTTCCTTAGCTTCTCTTTTCCCACAGCAAAACCCACGACTGCTCAGGGCAGACGAGGGCAGCCATGGCAAAACAAAAGGTTGACAGCTTGTGTCATAAGACCCCCTCCTTCTCACCCCACTCTTGGGTTGCCCTGTGGCCTTCCCCAGTGATTTATGCCCCTCCAGTCAAAGACCAAAAATATAATCGGCTACCTCTCCCCCAGAGAAGACCTGGGCTCAGGTGGTGTTAGCCCTGACAGATAGACAGACACAAGAAAGCAGGTCATTTCCAAGGGTCTGCTTCCCAGGCAGCATGCCTGCTGCTCCCCTGCCTGGTGACATCCCGTCCCAGCACACTCCTGTGGCATTGGTACTGCTGCCACCTTGTCACACACTGGAGACCACACACTTGGTAAGCGGCTGTGGTGGGGCTTGGCCATAATAGATAGCACATCCCCACCATGGACAGCTGGTTGCCCCGTGCCTGTGATGACAGACCATGCACATGTGGTGCACGACAGTTATTCTGTGGCCTGGGAACACTGCAGCAACACGGCTCTGGGAATGGTAATAGGCAGGGCCTTCAACCTGGGGCCCAAATCTGGATTATGTGGTCTGTGACAGGCTAGTTTTGGAACAACATGAAGAATTGTACTGGGATACGAGCCTGATGGGGCTCGGGTTTGAGACACTCGCCATGTTCCCTCAGGGTTTTCCACAGCCTCAACCCAAGGGGCAGATTTCTGTGGCCACCAACCTGAGAGTACCTCTTCTGGGAAGCTGAGGAGGCTGGAGAAGCCGTACTTCCAAATATTGCCTGCCATCAGCCCCTGGTTTGTTTTTCTGGGAGAGCATTCATTGGTTTGTTTTGTTGCACTGATCATAACTTTGATGTTCCTGGTTCTGAGAGACTTAATTCCGTGGAAGAACCAGCATTTCCACCCAAGGTGCCTGACTCCAAGGATAGTGCCATTCTGACTCCTTACAGGTACACCGCTTCTCATAATCCTCCTCAACTGGTCGTATTTTGAATGGCAGTGAGAGAGACATTTTGGAGGGAGTAATGGGTAGGCCCAGTGCCCTCAAGCACTGTGCACTGGGAACTGCCTACTCTGCATATGGATAAAGCCAGGCTGTCCTTGGAAACGCCCTTTCTGCTGACTATGTTCTACTTTTCCATAGCCTCTCTTCCCAAGGCAAAGTCATGTGCCAAGATCATGGAATTGACTCCAAAAACTTGAAGGCAGACACTCTGGATAACGACCGGAAAGGTTGTCATGCCAGTTTCTCTGCTTCCCTTGCTATTAAAAAAGTAGAAGTAGTCATAGCAATAGCAACAACAAAAAGTGACCAGGTTCCACATGCTAAAAATAGAGCAATTAATATGATACAATTCACAGACTGCCCAATGCGTTCACTATACAGAGAAGTTTTCCACAGCTGGGCAGCGGCAGAGGGATGGTGGGGCCAGGGACAGCTCTCCCCAAGACGCTGTGCCTCCCTCCCCAGTATGGCTTTCCAGAGGCTTCCTTTTGTCATCTGAGTGCCAGACAGCAAAAAATAGGCTTCAGTGAAATTTGACTTACAAGTGTATCTTAATTAGGAGTCAAATTAGGGGCCAGGGATTTAGCTCAGTGGTTACAGCGCCTCCCTTGCAAGCGCAAGGTCCCGAGTTTGATCCCCGGTACCGGAAAAAAAAAAAAAAAAGAAAGCAAAAGAGTCAAATTAGAATTGCTCAAAGCTTGCACTTTGAAAAAGAAAAGGACACTCAAAAGATTTATTGGTCACTGAACCTGCTGCAACATCTCATGTGTGGCTAAGTTCTGGATGCACAATGCTCTCACTTTTCCCCTTGAATCACTGCCTTCCCGGAAATGCACTTCGGCACCTCCTCCCAGGAGCCTGTGCTGAGACCATGAAGCCTCCTCAGCTTCCATTACAGGGGACGATGATGACCACTGTAAGCTGTGACCCAAAGAGTGGCAATGTGGGTCCAGGATGTGGGGTGACATCATCTTCTCCTTGGGAGGTAGCTGCTCAAACTTACAGCTCTGCTTGTAGCACAGAGCAGTGCTGGTCCAAGACGCCACTCAATCAATACTCCTTCGATCTCTCTAGACCAACAAACAGCAGAGAAAGAGAGGAGAGGGCTGGGAAAAGAGCAAGGGGTTTAGAACCAGAGCGCCTGCTTCAGCTGCAGTTTTGCCACTCCTTGGCCATGTGACTGTGGCTGGACCCCGGACCTTTCCTGGGCTCCCTTGTCAGCCGTCTCTCAGGACCACGGGCTATGCCAAGAGGGGCTGTTAAACAGGGATCTATTGCTAATGAAAATTCACAGGACCCGAATGGCAACCTGCCTGCAGACCTACAATTTTTTTACAGAAAAAAGATACAGTATGGCAAACACATTAAAGTAAGGCTACTCATTCATCACAGCCCAAGGCTGCTTCATAGCAAGAGATGGGGAGAGGACCTGGCCAGCTCCTGTTGTCCTCCTTCCCCTAAAGCCCACAGCAGAATGAACTTTCTCAGATCAGGAGCCAGCAATGGATGGACAAATACTCGTAGTCCATTTTGCAATAGCAGAGCATGTCAAAGTGGGTAATCTGTAACAGTAGAGGTTTATTTGGAAGCCATGCAAGGACTGCATCTGTCAGAGCCTCCTGCTGCATTGCATCATGGCAGAAGGAACTTGCTTGGAAAACCAGTTCATCCTCATGATAACAAACCGGCTCCTGCAATGGCACTGGTCTCTTAATGAGGGCAGAGCCCCCATAAACTGACCCCCTCTTAAAGTCCCACCTCTCAACCCTTCAGCAGTGGTGACTAAGTTTCTAGGTCCTGGCCTTTGGGGGCACAGTGAAATCATAGCAATTACCTTGGAACCACAGAGCCCCAAACGGAGTCTGCTGGAATTTTTTTGTTACGTAACCAGACTCAACAGCAGAGCCCTCTGAG